TGAAAAACTCATTTCTCCAATGCAGGTGTTCATGATATGCAATACAGTGGCTTTAATTTTTTTTCTCGGGAACGAAGCTGGATATGAAGAAAATACAAGAGACCAAAAAGTTGTATTTTGAGTTGCTTAATCTGAAAAAAATAAAAATTTACCAAAAAAAGTCAGTGGCGTACTTTTTTTCACGATATTGTTGGCTGTGGTGCCCACTGAGACGCCACTAGGCCCAATAATTTCTATCTAAATAGGGCTGAATAAGCGCCTTATTAGTTCAAATAAAAGTACAAAATTTCAACCGAATCGCTTCCAAGATCTTCATGATATTTTATAATTACCATTTTTTTTCTTCAATTTCATCGCCCTGTATCTCAGAAACGAAGCAACTCCGGACATATGTTCATAGGAACTTTTCTTCCTGAAATGACCTAACGAATCACCACCTGCTGTTAGGAACCGTAGTTAGGAAACACCCTGTATAATGAACTCGAGGCAGGCATAGACGAGGCGAAATGATCGCCATCTAGAGGCGAAAATTTAAGTTGATGCAGAATGAACAAAATATTTCATTGATATTACATATTTCGTTGCTCTATTCAGGCAAATGATCCGTTCGAAACGAGTTCATTGATACATCGGAATAAGACAACTTGTATGTTGTTTCAAAGATATATGTTCATCAAAATGATCATTGTTTGATCAAACCAACGAAATGTTTATAGTTGAATCAACATCGACATTATTTGGATCGACATAATTTGTTTTTGAAGAAACCATATATTTTGTTGATGGAATTGATATTATACTGTTGATTCAATTAGACTAAATTCTTGATTTGAACAAGCTGCTTCCATGGAATAATCATGTATCTGGTTGATTCAACAAAAAGTCCAACAAAAATAACTTAAGGCATAAATAATTTGTTGATGCAACAAATCCTTTTTTTCCGTGCAGGTAATTCTAATCCTTCAGGTTGAGAAAGTAGGATACATTAAATTTAGGCAAGCCAAGGTTAGTTTAGTTCATTATACCAGTATTTCACCTGGTGAAGCTACTGTGTAATCGACACATGTTTTGTGATTGAGAATTTAGTGGAAATCTTATCGTTTGTGAAGTTTTTACATTTTCCATGGATTTCCATCAAGTAACGGCCGAGTCAATTAAAAATCTAATATACCTGTTAGCGTAACTAATTTGCGTGAAAACAATATGGCCGTTGTTGTGGCGACGGGTAAACAATGACCAGATTTATTGAACAAACAAATTTGCATGAGGGTGGGAAAGCTTGATCCCTCTGCTGTTTACCAATCGGGTGAAACAAGAGGAATTACAGCTGTTTATCTATCGGGTGAAACATCACGATCACGGTAAACCACCCTTATTTCTTTGTTTGAAGATAAATAATCGAATATTGGGGCATTCTATACAGGGGGTGAACGGAGTCATTGAAATGAATCATGAATGAAATGAATTCGTTGATACTATGGAGAAAATCTTTACCAATAATAATGCGTCAAAATATGGGAAGTTAGTGAATTGGACGTCCTGTTTTCGAATCCGAAGTGATTTTCAACCTATCTTGTCTCTTGATATTTTCCGGACATGTGTGTATAGTTCCACGGCTGTTGGCGAGCAGTGTATATCACTGAAGATGACTCCACTTGGTCATAGAGTACATTTTTGGTATATTTCTCGCTCCAGCAAATTTCAGGATCATAACCCAACGATTACGTAAGATACGGGGGTGTTTCCATGAAAAGTGAGACAAAAATAAATTTTTCAGAATTGAAAATTCTTCAGGAAAAATATGAATAGTTAGTAAATTAGCCGTCCTCATTCCGAATCCGAAGTGATTTTCAACCTATTCTGACTCCTATATAATATCATTTTCCGGAAATTTGGGTGGTTACATGGCTGTTGGCAAGCAGTCTAAATCACTGAAGATGACCCCACTTGGTCATATAGTACATTATTGCTATATCTCCCGCTCCAGCAAATTTCAGGATCCTTACCTAACAATTACGTAAGATACATGGGTGTTTCCATTTTAAGTGAGACACACTGTATATGTCCATCCTCAGCCTTATGAATTATTACTACATATCCTGGAAGAGAGTGGATAATAATAGTACAAAATATTTTGAATAAATAAAATTATGCTTACGTGGGATCTTTTCTTAATGAAATGAAACAAAGATGGGTTTCATTTCAATCCAAGGGGGGAAGCCCAAAAACCCCAATTAGAACTATTTTATTTTATTTTATTTTATTTTCACAAACAGGAATACAAACAGGACGAACCCAGAGACAGTTTTCACATATAGGTGTACTAAATATGTCATGTTGTTAGGAATTAAAATTCCATTATACAGCAGTATTTTATATATTTTATATGAAAAAGAAAAATTTTCAATATATCATCAATTAGATGCTGGAACAAAATGTTTCTTGAGTTTGTTCACAAAAATTGTTAAAGAGTCGGAAAAAATATCAATCTCTATTATGTTTGAAATGGAGTTATAACTTTTCAAGCATCGATGTAATACGAAAGAAAAGTCCACAAGGTGCACATCAGTGATACTTTCCGAAGTTGTTCGACTACTCTTACAAATTGGGGATGTTCCCGTCCAACTGGAAAATTACAAGAGTACAATCAGTTCCTAAAAATGGCAAAACGACCCTACCTAGCCACTACAGACCGATCGCACTGCTATCTATTATTTCAAAGATCATGGAGAAAGCCATCAACATCGACCTCAAGAGATACCTGGAACATTCAGGTATTATCAACGATAGGCAATATGGCTTCTGCGTCTTACATATATGTCAGCAAACTATTGAAAAATATGGTGAAACCACTAAAACCTCAGCCGTGGCACTTGATATCTCCAAAGCATTCGATCGAGTCTGGCACCACGGACTCCTCGCCAAGCTTCCATCTTATGACTTGCCTCCCCAGCTATTTTCTCTGCTAGCTAGTTTTCTCTCGAACAGGTCTCTCCATGTAGTGGTCGACAGAGTTTCATCTGACTCTCTTATCATGAATGCTGGTGTTCCGCAAGGATCAATTCGAGCACCAATACTACCTATTTCTACTCCATATCAACGATTTGTTGGAAGCAACTTCATGTCCAGTACACAGCTTCGCGGATGATAGTACCCTCCAATACCAGCCAGGCAAATCAGAAACGAACGAGGGAGAAATGTTGACAACATAAATATGGACTTGGCAACAATTCTCGAATTGGGACCCAACTTGGTAGATTTCAATGCAAACAAACCATAAGCATGCCTTTTCTCTAGAAAAGCCGATCTTACTGTGCCCAACATGTGCTTGTCAGGAGTAACCATACCTTTGAAGACATCCATTTCGATGCTTGGTATTACTATCAGTAATAACGTTTCTTGGGAAAATCATGTGAAATCAATTGCTAAAAGTGCATCCCAAAGACTTGGAGCTATTTCACTTCCAGTCAGCTGCTTATGATCTATAAGGCACAGTTCCGACCTGTCCTGGAATACTGTTCTCATATTTGGAGTGCAGCACCCTAACATACACTGAAACTGGTGGATTCTGTTCAAAAAAGGGCAATTCGTCTCGTGGGTGATGCCTCGCTCACAAACTCACTCACTTCTCTGGAACACCGTTGAAAAGTTGGCGAACTGGCTCTATTCTATAGATATTCTATAGATATTCTCCCTTGGCAGTCCCCGCGAGATTAACCCGTCGAGTTGAGGCTTCGCACCCTTTCGTGGTCACTTTGGAGACCTGAAGAACATCTCTTTCCAAAGACTCGTTCATCCAATGAACAACGAGGCTCTACATTGTCAAGGGAGGTGTTCCCCGAGGCACATAACCTCCAGAAATTCAAGACGAACACCGCAATTCCTACCTTATATCTTTTGGTTCTCACGATGTTCTCTGAATATTACAGGATATTCCTTTTCGTGGGAACCATTCCTTTTCGTGGGAACCATTCCTTTTCGTGGGAACCATTCCTTTTCGTGGGAACCAGAACATGTACTCGATGGAAGTCACATGACCAGGAAGAAAAGAACAAAGTCATGTGTCGCACGAACCCATCATGTACCTAACAAGAGAAAAGATCGATCCTTGTTATACAAATAGCTATTTTTTCCTAAAATATGACTAGGAATCACCACCTGAACTTTGTCGCACTTATTTATTCATATTCTGTACAGAATGGTCCACTTTTTAGTAGCAAAATATTGACAATAAATTATCATATTTAGGAGTCAAGTCATAATTTCTGTCGGTTACTCAACCGAAAAGATACATACAATAATGATAAAGATGGAAAGCCCTAATTTCGAGCGACAATGGAAAATGAAAAAACTCCACCGCCCCGTGTGAGAGTCGAACTCACAACCTCTGGGTTACATGCCCAACGCTGTGCCAATTGAGCCAACGACGGGTCGTCCGTCGATCAATCTCCACGAAGCATCGCTGACAGGATGGTACTATCCATATTTCCCCGTTCGTCCTTTGGCATTGTCTTTCCTTGTATACGGAGATGTCCGAAGGCAATCATACATAGGAGTCAAGTCATAATTTTTGTCGGTCACTCAACCGAAAAGATACATCTAATGATGAAGATGGAAAGCCCTAATTTCGAGTGACAACGGAAAATGAAAAAACTCCACCTGGTGTGTGATGAGAACTCGACCTCCCTGCCGATTGATCGACGGAAGACCCGTTAGCTCAATTGGCAGAGCGTTGGGCATGTAACCCAGAGGTTGTGAGTTCGACTCTCACACAGGGCGGTGGAGTTTTTTCATTTTCCGTTGTCACTCGAAATTAGGGCTTTCCATCTTCATCATTATAATTATCATATTGTCTATTGTCTCGCCTGCTTGCTAGCCTCGGCCGGGCCTTGGCTATCAATTTACAGACTCGACTGTACTAAACAGTTTTTCGTCCTTGGTATATATACATAAATAACTATTCCTCTCTCGAAGCTAGCTGAATTTCTCTATTTTCGCAGGCCGTGGCACCGACTTCGTGGGCGGCATCGACAACGAGGCGTTGGACTTCTCGCAGCTGGAGGACTTCATCAACAGCGAGGGCTCCCAAGGCAACGGCTCCTATTTCGGGGACTCCCTCAACACGACGCCGGCCACGACGACAGGGAAACTGCTCAACGTCATAGTCGAAAACAAAAGGAACAATAATGGGTGAGTACATGGTGTTGCCAACAACCGTGCACGCGACCTATCGCCCTGGTTGCCAACCTAGGCGATTAATCGCCATTTGGGCTATTTATTTTCTCTAGCGGCGGTTATATTTTTGATTCGGCTATGGGCTTTTGTTCGGGCGAAATAATGTTTATGTTGCAGAAGCTCCTAGTTCATCAGATTTAATTTTCCATTCGCAATCATTTCCTGCCCTCCGGACCGCAACTCGGAGCACCCCTAAAGTCCGTAAGAGGGCTGCGAAGTGGCTCCGATCTCTCAACAGGAGTCTCTGTACGCGAACCTGAACCAGTCCATCTACAAGCAACCGGCCATTCTGACTCTTGCTAAGAAACTGAAAAGTTTGTCAGCAAGACAAGTGAAACTGAAAGTCATTTGGGTTTTCACTGTGAGTTTCTGTTGCTTGTCAAACCTGTCAGACTGTTATACAATAAAAACACCCACGTTGGGCGCCAGATGAAGAAGACTAGGTTCTCAGTAAACTCGGATAATATGGATACTATTGTACAACAGTCTGACAGGTTCGACAAGCAACAGAACTAAAACCAGGTGACTGTTGGTACCAAATTGAATTCAATCTCACAGTGGGAACCCAAATGGCTTTCAGTTCCGTCTTGCTAACAAACTTTAAAGTTTCTTAGCAACATCGAACAAAACTATACTGCATGTGTATTTAATGGATGATATTGAATGGTTATTTTGTCACACAAATGAGCCTATTTTCGGCGAAAAATTTGAAAAATTGTAACTTCTGATACTTTATTAGTTAACTTCAGACTAATTCTTCTCTTACCATTCGCAGCCATTCCCTGCCCGAAAGCCCTCCAGACAGCAGCTCGGAGCACCCTTACAGTCCGCAAGAGGGCTGCGAAGTGGCTCCCATCTCTCAACAGGAGTCTCTGTACGCGAACCTCAACCAGTCCATCTACAAGCAACCGGCCATTCTGACTCCCATTCTGACAGACAACCTCATCTTGGGCTCGCACATCGTGGTCTCTGGACAGGGAGAGCACGTGCTGGAAGGGGGTGGGATTCTGCGAGACGAGGATGCCGGCGTGTTGCAGCCGAGGATCATCATCTCGGAGTCGGGGGTGGCAGGTTAGTGATTCATCGGAAGTTATCTGGCAATTGTTTTCTTTATACCACCACTAGCTTTCACCCGCGATTTCGCTCAAGTTGATTTCGTGCAACCTGCAACCTTTACTGCACAGGCCGTGGTGACGAACTTCTAGACATTTCAGAATAGATATTACGATTCTGAGGCATTTTAAATAACAGAGTATAAATTGACTCCTAACCTCAAAAATTAATTATTGGTTGCATAGGTCGCATGCACAAGCGTCAGATGATCGACCCTCTAGGTAAAACAACCTCACTTTCCTTATTTATTTACAAAAGTTGGAGTGTGGAACGGGTTCTGACATCCCACCTTTGGCGTCTCTTCTTGCACAAGATGGCGTTATGGAAGCAGAAAAAGTTTTTCATCCTTTTTAGCAATAGTTTGTTAATTATTGTTGAGCCACATCGTCCTCCATAATTTCAGAATAATGTAACAACGTTTTCATTACCATGTCAGTATCATCCATTTAATAAGGGTTTTTCATACATGATGTATCTCCTTATATTGTAGGACTTCTTAGCATAGGGTGAAGATGGACATTGCATATGTCCCAAATATATTCCTAATTTGATGTTTTCAAATTAAAAAGTCGTGGAGATGAATTTGTGCTTTTCTCATTGGATAGATTAAAACATATTTTTTTTCAATGTTGAAGTGTTCAAGTGTGCTGAGTCATGGATATACAGGGTCGCTGATATGTACGGTAACAGGTGAATATATCGGTAACCTGTTGTTGGATTTTTTTGAATTTATGTACTGTGTGATTTCAAAACGTGGCAGATTTGAAAATGTTATAGTCAATGTCGCCACTTTTTCAGTTGTTCCGGATTTTTTATTAACTTCCATATTTTGAATAGGACACCCTGTAATTTATTGGATTTTCAGAATTCTCCTTGAAGAGCTAATTCCATCGATCTATCACACTTGTAGTCTAGCAGGAATGATTACATAGTTATAGGGTGTTTGAAATCTAGATCGGATGAAAAATTATCTATTTATGTCATATTACATGTCATGCTGTATTTTGTTGAATAAAGCCAATTTCTGGCCAATACTAACTCATTCATAACACATACATTCACCAAACAGACTATTAAAAAATCTCAGGAAATGCAGAACAAAATTATCATAAAGAAAGAGGAATTAATTGCAAAACAACGTAGTGAAATTGAAAATTTGAGAACGAAACTGAGGAAATCAAGTAAAATGCAACGTGATATAGACTGTGTCCAAGATTGGGATATCTATCATGGGAATCGTTTTTATTTTTTTCTGACGTTAATTAAAGAGATATAGGAAAACAGAAGACACTTCCTCATACCATTTTCGAAGTTCTACAGACATTTTCTGTACGACGTTCCGTTCCGAAGAAACCATCATCAACTATACCCCATGATAGACATCCTTATCTTGGACTCACTGTATATCTTTGAATGGCGTTTTCAATACCGACCGAACTAGCTATAAGTAGAGTCCCTTGATGCGAACTGACGTATTTGTCATCTAACAGGGACGGACAAAACATAGCTCGTTTTTCTTTTAATCATCTAGTGACTTTGGTTTCGTGTATTGGCGTCCCTGACATGACATTGCTGTCGCGTCACATTCATAGGCGTTAATGAGATCTTACAAACTTTTGATTTCATACTTGATCTTAATACGACATCATTCAATTCTGTTTTGGAAGGATGGTAAAATATGCTGCGTTTGGCTGTATCAATCAGTTGGATGGCAAATTTGAATTTGTCACCATCAAATACAAATGAACTCAGAACATGGATAGTGAAGTGACCGAATGGGGAAAATAAGTAAATACATCAGCAAAATATTCGAGGTAAAACTAATACGAAATCACATATTATACTTTCTCATTGTGCCTATAATTATCCACTTCACAAGTTTTTGAATGCATTTTAGTTCACAGTTTTGATTAAAACGGAGGATTAAAAGATGAGACATATGCCCTACCATTTAAAAAGTTATACCTACATTCAGGAAATATTAAGTGTTCGTGACAAACTGCAAAAATGATTCCCAACATGAATATATACAGCACACATGACATATGAGCACATTAGGTTGAATACCTACATAAAATTGTTCACCATTTCTCAACCATAAGGCTCAGTCTGAAATCAAAATTCATTTATTGATGGTACTGCCTAAGAACAGTACTATTTGGTAAAATATGTAGAGATGAATGAAAAATTACATGTGGAAATTACAATTGTCAGAAATCTAGTGTTCATCCCCAGAAATGAAAAAAGGTGGAACTATATAACTGTTTCACAAACACTTTAGAGTGAGAGGAGACGAGGATCTGTCCGTACCCTGTTAAGATGACAAATACGTCAATTTACATCAAGGGACTCTAGCTATAAGTATATCCATATGTGTCTATTTTCTCATTTTTATAACTGTTGTTCCTCTAAAAGTGCCTTATCGCTATAAATTTAAGTGGGTGTTAATACTCTATTTCTATTTTCCATCTACCTCTATGACAGAAAATGTAACATCTAAAATCGTATCTGACAATCAGGCGCTATTAGGGAAATTAAAAAGACAAAGAGCAGAATATATGTCTTATTATTTTATTAACTCAAGCATTGTAATTTAGAAAATAGAAAGGATAACAGTTAAACTGTGTGCTCTCAGTAGTTGTTTCTGTTCCAGATAACAGCCGACCGATCCTGTTGGCCCCATCCGAACCAGGCCAAACGTTCGACGGGAGCATCTTCAAGAGCGACGAGTACGACAAGAACATGGTTCACCTGGGATACAACCACGCCATAGACGGTCTGCCTAGGAGTAACGTGGAGGGCGATTTGTGCGAACAAAGTCTGGATAATATACAGAGCGTTTATACGAACTTGCAGTCGGCGCCCAAGAAGAGGAAGCTGTCGCAGGATTCGCCTCTGGTCAAGAGTGAACCGGGTGAGTAATAGAATGATAACTGTTGATATTTTCAAGGAATGAGGGCTAACATTTTTCATTGTCCACCTGATCGCGCCACTAAAACGTGAGGTCAGAGTTGGTAGAACTGATGAATATACTTCTTCTCCTCCTGTCATTTGGCATCTTTCTAAGATATCTTCTTCTCCGTCAATGTAAAAATTGGTCATGAAGTTCCACATTGACATTAAAAAAACGTAAGTCTGCTCAAGTATTTCTATAACTTGAGGTTTTCTATGTGTTGAAATATTCTACATAATTTTTTCCGAGTTTTTTCGATAAAAACAGGCACAGCCTTAAGAACTTTCCGTCAAATTTTTTTGGTATTTTTGACTTTGACATTGACCTCACGTTCTAGTAACGCCCATTGGTGAGATTGAAAATGTTAGCCCTTATTGATATAACTACCATTTTTAGTGACTACATTCACAGGCAAAAAACATGTCATCTTGTAATAGTCTACGTTTCCCTATGAATTTTACCGTCATTCTCACTCAATTATAATAGATTCATTTTGATTGTCTTATTAATTGTTTTCTATAGTCAATTTGTACACCCCGTATCATTTTCAAGGATGGCTGTTTTTGCCGTTGATTGTATTTGCATGTTTTTGACAGTGCTAAGCAATCTTCTCAATGATAAATCGTGTGGGTATCGTGAGAATGGATCTGTTCACTGTCACAAGCCTTTTTTTTCCATTTTCGATTCTCCAATACTTTCTACGTATGTAAATATAGTACTCTTTCTTCATTGGGATAAATAATTATTTTTCGAGATAATTAAACATGACAATTATTTCGATTTTCATGTATATCAATTATGTCAATGTTTTGGATCATTGGACTGCATTAATTATGCAGTTCGTCACAAAATTGAAGAGTGAACTGAAGGAATATATTTGATCAATTTAACTACTTAACTTTTATTTTATTGCATAGTTGGTTTATTTTTTTATCCCTCTATAACCATGTACCTATGTTTCTTGGGATCAATAAATGTTATTAACTTCAGTCCATATTAACAAAAAAAACATATACTACACTGTTTTACCACTAACCAAACCGACTTTTTAGACGCCTCGACACGTGTTTTGCTAACTATGTTAGCATCTTCAGGAGAAGATTAAAACTGTTTTAATCTTCTCCTGAAGATGCTAACATAGTTAGCAAAACACGTGTCGAGGCGTTTAAAAAATCGGTTTGGTTAGTGGTAAAACAATGTAGTGTATTATCGTGCCAAAGGTTCCAGTGTTCGATATAAAAAAAACATAATGAAATAATTTCTAAATTTTCAATATCATAAATAGAGAAAAAACCTGTCACAATCAAGAAACACATTTTATCTAGGTGATTTGGGTTGAATATTCATATTTTGAGCTCAGGATTTTATGGCTGGAATATTTCCTTTTTGTAATGAAACATCCTGAATAAGTATTTGTCTTGTGAATGTGAATATTGTTGTCATTGGTGATATTTCGGATCGATTCTGTTCGGATCTTATTATAACATTGCTAAGATAATAATATTGTTATGATCATAACATATAACAATATTGCTATGAAGTTCTGTATTCTGTTTGCAGAGTAACTGCAAGACTGGTTATAAGTTCAAGTGATAGCAATATTGTTGAAAAATTGAGAATTTTTGAGCTGACAACACTGTTTTCAACTAATTGTTCAAGTGTTAGTTATCGATTTTGCCATTATTTCATGAAGAAGAAGAGTTCAACCTCTCAAATTAGTCAGTCCTGCGACCTGCACTGACATTTTACAAAATTATATTGTTCAAATCGAAAGATTTTGTATTGCTTAATCTGGTCGTCGTTGTGCGACTGGTGCAAGTAATCAATCATGTCCCCGAAATGAAAAAACAACTAAAGCCGGATGAAACAAATTGTGATTTTTTTTTAATATTCTAGCAAAATAGCTTGATAAACTATCCATCAGGCAACTGAAATTTCTCTGATATGCCGAAATTGTAGTCTCATATTTCCTCTACAAATTGGAACTTCAAGAAGAGGTTTTCAAGTAGTTGGTCACAGTACACAGCAGTGAACCTATCCTATATGTTTGTAATCACCAAGTTTTTCAATAATTCTTCTACGAATTGAAACTATCAGGAAAGGTTTTCGAGTAGTCAGTGACACAACTAAACTCTCATATGTTTTTATTCCACTATTTTCTGAATTTTCATACAGTTGGAAGAATTTGTAGTACAAAAACAAAGAATCCACTACCTTGTTATCAGATAGCAAGCACAAAATTGATGTTGCCGATATAGCAAGAATGCTAACCAGATTTCATTGAAATTGACAGATCATATTGCCAAAAATCGATGATTAGAATTCCACTTTTTCGAATCTTGCTATGATAGCAATATCTTCTCTACAACCATATTGCTATTTGCAAATAGAATCGACCCGATTTGACTCACATAAAGTAATTACTAGTCATAAATTTGGCAGCGTCGACAGATGTGGTTATATGCTCATTGCTCTCATAGGTTGTTGAGGAATTTACCAATAACTATCAGGCTAGATGCAAATCGGTTAATCACGTCATCTTGAGCTGACGTTTCTAGAAAGCGCCGATATTAATTATTAAAAGAAGAATTCGTGATGATTTTGAATAACGAATGATTGCATCATATATTATTTATACACACTGAATGATCAATATAAAATAAGAATGTGGCGTAAATTCGACTGGTGTTAAACCCGATCGGAAAATCGAAAAATAACTTAATTTGAAATGTTTTCTGGAAGCTAAGTACAAAAAATATTTCCAATTATTGGTGCTTTGAGAAGATGTCCCAAACTTAATATGGAAATCGCAAACGTGATTCCCTACTCTCATATATCTTATGTATCTAATAAATCAAAACTAATAAAATGGCTGGATATTGAATGGCTTGTCAAATTCCAATATGTTGTTTTCGTCTATCGCCTTCCTCTCAATTCCACTCCTTCATACTTTAAATACAAATTGATAGCTAGAAAAGATGTTCATGCGCGAAATATTTAAATTATATTCAATTAACACTCCCAAATTCCTACTCTTCATCCTAAGAAAACTACTTCATAATACCTTTTATTTATTTATTTATCCATTTATTTATTTATTCATTGATTTATTTAGTATTTTGGCTGCCTAACAGATAGCATATGCTATCCTATTACAAGGCCGCCCTTAGTAACAAAAATATGATATAATTCTTTTAAATCGAAAGTCTATACTACAACTATAACTACTTAGCTAAATTAGTGAGATGATGTAACAATTTAATTTAATGTAACAATTCAAGGAATATAAATTTTCACTGATTTGAGCGAAAAATATATGATTTTACAATCAGTTTAAACGAACTGAGACTCTGACCAAAAAAAATCTTTATCCTGACTACTCCTGACAAGATTATTGTATGTTAGACAACAACGCAGCATTGGCGAATTCAATAAGTAATTTGATCTATACCTATCTATCAAAAAAATTGTTTTATTACGAAGACCAAAATGACTACAATTGAACTCAAAATGCTGAAGACAATAATCAGAGTCGACCATATTATTGACCAGCCTGTAAACGAAAATAACATCAAAAAATATCCTTCTATCTTCTAGGGAGTTGAGATTATAAAAAGTTAGGTTTGACTTATACGAATAATAGTGACGCTGCTTGTTAAATTTGTAATTTATGAAATTTATCAACTTATGTTGAACTATTTCAATACGTGAAGTGTATTTAATATAAGATGGATTCCAGACAATCGTGGAAAATTCCAATATTGGTCTAACAATAGCATTATACAATGTTAAGATAGTTGACAAATTCTGAAAGTTTTTGCTCATTCTCATTATAAATCCAAGATTCCTCATTGCTTTACGGACAATAGCATCAATTTGATTTTCGAATGACAGTTTCACATCTAATATAATTCCTAGGTCTTTCACATTTTCCGATGATTTGATACAAGTGTTATTCAACAGTATTTCTTTATGAGGAGGAGTGATAGAGCGCGAAAAATTAATCATCATACATTTGTCAGGATTGACGAGCAGCTTGTGTCTAATACAAAACTCACAAAAAGCAGTGATGTCATCCTGCAGTAGCTCATAGTCACGGTCACACTTGATCTCTTTGTATATCTTCAAATCATCTGCGAAGATACAATATTTACTGAAACGAAAACATCTTCCAATGTCATTCAGGAAGATGCTGAATAATAAGGGACCTAGAAGTGACCCTTGAGGCACCCCGGAGGTGACATCTTTATTTGTAGAGTTGACATTGTTTATGGCCACATATTGAGTTCTTTCAGATATGTAGGATGATATCAGTTTCAATAGTGCCCCGTGCACACCGAAGTTTTCGAGCCTTACGATGAGAGTTGGGTGATGAACTCTATCAAAGGCCTTAGAAAAATCGGTGTACACAGAGCACACTGATGATCCCTTCCCGAAATCTTCTAAAATATCTTGAATGTATGGAACAAGGTTTGTTGTCACCGAGCGCTTTTTGAAGAAACCGTGTTGATGAATATCAATATGATTTTTTACGAGAAAAAATAGTTCTTGCGTAATTATTGACTCTAAAATTTTACCAAAATGGTCGATAAGAGAAATTGGTCTATAGTTCCCAACTTCATTTTTTTTCACCTGACTTGTATATTGGAACAATTTGAGCACGTTTCCAAACTTTTGGAAAATACCCACTTCGTAGACATTTATTATAAATAATTAGCAATGGTTTAAGCAGACTTTCACAACAAGATTTAATGAACAGAGCTGGAATTTTGTCAGGTCCTGGTCCTTTTCTGATATCGAGCTTTTCAATTGCATCTTTTATTTGTTTATTGGTTATATTATTTATTATGATAGGTCGAGAATATGAATAAACCTTGGTAATTTCTTTTTCTCAATAAGGTGTCCCTCAGGAATCCCCTCTTTCACCCCTCCTATATAACCTATACTATCATGATATATTCAGCTTCAACCAAGATAACAACAACACATTGATGAAAACCTTCACATTCTACAGTATGCAGACGACACAGTTCTAATTTCTCATAATTGATGAATGAAGTCTGCAACAGAAAAATTACAACAACTGATAAACAAAACCAGCACTTGGTGCGTTAATAATGTAGTATCCCACGCCTCGCGTACAAAATTTTATCTACAACTGTCAACGTTTTCATAACTCTTCAAATGTATCTCATTGATTTTCCACTTCGACATACCTACGCATGACAGTTTTCTGATAATTGAAAACACAAGTTGCCTGTGATAATTTTTGTAACCCTAGCAACAGTAGGTATAATCAAAGCCGTTTATAGATGTTAAATTAAATTGTCAGATCGATATCCAGAACCATCATTAAATTTCTTGAGTGAAAATGTCTTCAAGTGAAGATGATCTACCATCCGACATTGAAAATGCAGCGACAAGTGTTATTTAAATTATCTATTCATTCAATAAACGATTTATTTTAAATTTATTTCTCATCTCATTACCGCACTAGTGCGGCAATAGATTCAAAAAACCACTAGTGCGGTAATTAACGTCATTATGATATCCAAAAAAGTGACAAATCATAATCATTACTTGACAGTTGTAGATAAAAGGTATTATCATTCCAGAACATTGTACGACGAGTCAGCTGAGCCCTTCCGAACAAATGAATACGTCGATAGACGACGAGTACGCATCTTCGGAAGCCTGCCTATCGGAATCCCAGTACCAGTGCATACGGTTCAATGCCTTTCAGCAAAACAATTGGCATACCTTGTGCGATCAAAATTTAACGGAACTGTGAGTATTTTGCAAGTTGATCATTTTCCACTGCTGACTCCAGAACGCATCATTATTAATCATGATTTTTTACCTGAAAAATGAGTTTTTGTTACCCCGTATATCGAGAACCAGTTTCTCCACGACAAAACGAAAGAACATGTCTTTGATTTTCTGGAGTTGAACAAGTTAAACTTGAGATAGGTACCCTTTATGAGGAAATATGTGTTTGTAGTAGAAATACTAATAATGTGTCTATAATACATATAATCGGTCCGATTCACTGGGAGCGTGGTTATTTTAACAACTGTCGTTCGGATGGTTAATATGAAGGTCAGTGGCTATTTGAACCACTTACAAATTTTCTAATTCTCTAAGGCATAGATGGATAATAAATTAACAACTTGTCATGTTTTTTCCACTTTTTATAGTGGCAGATATCCACCAGTTTTTTCTGGTAATTCGTGGATTGGCTAAGGTTCTTAATAAAAATATGTGGCACTATGTCAAGGAAATGTTGTTCATCTGTTAATGCTAGATATTGTAAAAGAGGTAACTCTATGACAAGAAACTATTAAATACCTATCTAATTATTATTCATTATTATTATTATTAAAAAGTGATAATGGGCTGAGGTGTGAACCTATAAAAGCCCATTTATACATGACATAGTTGTATGGTACACATAAAGAAATATTATATATACAGTGCGTTCATAAAGTGTGGAAACGCTCCATTATCTTACGATATAATTATTTTTAGAGGTAAAGCTCGGACAGGTCGATTTTGTATTTCAGTCTTCCATCTTTTTTTACAAAAAAATAATTTTTCCCCCCACCACCTTACAAGATATGACGTCATCGATATTTTTTTTAAATTGAAAGGGTATATTTTTATATCAAAAATTGAAAGCCCATATTTTTCTGAGTTCAACCATACCACATACGTCATATCTTACACTTCAAGTTACAGTATACTGAGTATAAAAGAAACCAGTGTTCATATTTCTCAACATTCATTTAATTATTTATTTGCAATGAAAATATCATAAGAAGTAGTGAAAATGAAGTAGATTTGTTATTTGTTTATTTTCACTACTTCTTATGATATTTTCATTGCAAATAAATAATCAAATGAATGTTGAGAAATATGAACACTGGTTTCTTTTATACTCAGTATACTGTAACTTGAAGTGTAAGATATGACGTATGTGGTATGGTTGAACTCAGAAAAATATGGGCTTTCAATTTTTGATATAAAAATATACCCTTTCAATTTAAAAAAAATATCGATGACGTCATATCTTGTAAGGTGGTGGGGGAAAAAATTATTTTTTTGTAAAAAAAGATGGAAGACTGAAATACAAAATCGACCTGTCCGAGCTTTACCTCTGAAAATAATTATATCGTAAGATAATGAAGCGTTTCCACACTTTATGAACGCACTGTATATGTAAATAGCTACTAGACAAACAATTAGATTAAAAATAAAATTGAAAAAACAATTAAAAATGTTGAATAGAAATTGAACATTTCGAAATAAAATAGACAGATATAATGCGATGCAAACTGAAAAAAAAAACAAAAACAATTTACTCAGTAATACGATCTAATCGACTTTTGAATGATGATACTGAGGGTGCATTAACTATGTCTGTATCCAGGTTGTTCCATGCCGAGAAAACACGATTTTCTATGAGGTTTTGCCGATTTGACGACCTGAAATGTTCCTTCTTAAGTTTAAAATTATGTCCTCTTAATCGTGTATCATCGTTTATCTGGAACATATCACTCAGTGAGGGTAGAAATCCGATAAGTTAGGATCAAGTCTCCACGATGTCTTCGATCTTCGAATGTTGTCAGGCTTAACTGATTCAAACGTTCATGGTATGATGGTCTTCTGAGACCGAAGGACATTCGGGTTGCTCGTTGTTGCACAGATTCCAACATGTTACGATCTCTGATCAACTCCATTAATCAACAACAATTATTTGTGAAAACAAAAAATTTGCTATTTCATTAGAAGGATAGCATCAATCAATAGAATTTTGAGGGGTTCAACAAATCCATCCTTGAATTTCGGAAAATCTATCACATGCCAAAAGTGTTTGTTTCAGAGGTTTTGATACCATTAATAGAACCACAGATAGAAGACGTTGATGGGCTACTTTTATTCTACTACATGTAAAAATAAATCTCAGTTGAGTTTTCGTAATATATCATTATAGAGAGTACTTAGAGAATATTTAAAACTAAAGCCTAGTATTTCAGTTACTTGCTGCTTTATATTTACTTGCACGAGGAGCCTATCAGGGGGACTGATTCGAATGTAGCAATGTCTCAACCAAGTGCCTGTAGAGTGTATCAATTGTTAGGTTAAATAGACGTTTAAAAGGTAGAAATGTCATAATCTTTTCCTGAAGATGCTAACATAGTTAGCAAAACACGTGTGGAGGCGTTAAAAAATCGGTTTGGTTAGTGGTAAAACAGTGTATAGGTAGAAATGTAGCAATAATCAATGAAATAGATGAATGAATGATTTCGCAGCTTTATCCATACCACTGAGTGTAAATGTGAAAGACTAACCAAATTGATAAATGTTGTTTTTATAGAATACCAAATATCAATAGTGGAAAATCTAGTGTGGTTGAAAAAGTTCTCAATAGCAACTTTACTTATTTAGCCATCCTATTGAACATTTCCTAGAGAATCGGACCGAATAACTGCCCCTAGTTAACTTTTGAATGGCTGGGATTTTTTGCATCCAACGGTACTTTAAGTGCTACATCGTGATTCCGATAAAAATATGTATCTATATGTATGTGTATTTATTGGCATCCAGGATCCATTTTGAAAGATACATATCATTTATCAGAATCAAAATGATTCACTTGAACTACGGTTGAAGCTTAAAACGAATCAATAAAATTCAGCCTTCCAAAAGTTGACTAGGAGTGGTTACTTCATGGACACATTGTGTAGTGTGTATGCATCATGCACGGTACAGAAGATATTATTCTTTCCTTGCTTGATTATAATATAGATGGACTTGAAAAATTGAGTAAAATGAGACGAAAAAACAAAGCGAAATGAAAGAATAAATATTTGTCAAAAACAAATTATTTTGGAAGTTATTGAACATCAAAGTTTGTCTGAAATTTTGTAAATCATTGATCATATGTGTAGTCCAGCCACAGCGTTTATTTTCGGTGAGGTCAGCAGCACCCGGAGTATCAATGACTTTTGTGACTTAAGACCACATATTTTTCAAAACCCTTTTTTTTCAGTATTCCACCGCATTACAGGGTGGATGCGGATAAAGGTTTCAATTTTTCACATGCCGATGATGCTTTTGTTTGTCAGAAGAAGAATCATTTTCAGGTATGTACTCAGTTAATTATATCATGAACTGTTATTCAACATGAAATAGATATTTTTTGTGTCGGATATAAAATTTCTATAGTAAAGAAAAAATCATGTTTCTCATTGTTTTTCTGTGTGATTTGAAGAGATTAGTTTGATATGTCCCTGTGAAAGGAATATTCGGCTTGATTCAATGAAAGAAAGAATAAGTATGGTGGCCGTGATAAAAACAAATGTTGTATGCATTGTGTGTGAAACTGAGAGGAACAGTATTGACTCTATTATAATATTGTAACTGGGTAGAGTGATTTCTTAGTAAGCCTGATTTCCTGATTAGTTGAAATGTATGAAATAAATAATTCATAAAATTCTTAAGTAGTTCAATGAAATGACCAAAACATAGGCATATCCATAATATAGAGGATAGTTCCAGTACTCAAAGTTGAGTCTTGAAATTGATAGTCGATTATTTTCATTGTTACCAAGACATTAGTAAATTGAATCTGGCACCGCGCTCAAAATTTCAGCCAAAATCAAATTACACCAAACCATACTGATCACAGCGTTCTCATTGAGGTTATGTTCTCATCGTTATCTGTTCATTCGTTTATTCATGGTCTGGAATAGGTTTATGTCCTGTTTCTGTTTTATTTGTTAATTCATTCGTTGATTGTGATTATATATACAGGGTGTCCCTTAAGGACATGCTAATATTCAAGGGGGTGATTCTATGATTCAAGGAAAAAAAATCCCACTAACATATGTCCTAAAAGGCTTAACTGTTGAGATACAGGGTGAAGAAGTTATGAAAAAAATCAGTTTTTGAATAATAACTGGGATAATATTGTAGATATCTTTTTGAAATTTGGTACATATCTTCTATGCATCAAGGTACACTTTATTATGTTTACAAATTTTCATTTTCTCTACCAGTGGCGACGTTAGAGGAATATGATTGTTTATATTCTACTTAGAAGTAAGCAACAAGAAAATATTTCCAAATTTCATAAAATGCTATGAAAAGTCATTCAAGTTTGTACAAAAGAGATCCTCTTGTTGATACAAGATAGGACGCTCCGTTTCCGAGAGAAAACGAAAAAACGAGATCAGACTTCAAATTCAGTACATCCATTACTGGATAAACCCAGTATGTAAAATTATTCAATATAATAATTATTCAAGTGAGCAAAAATTATGCACTCAGAATATGGATACAAACCTGAGAAATCGAAAACTCAGTGAATCGAAGTTTTTATCTTCTACGTCAGATGAAAACTTCTTATTCACAAAGCTCAGTAAGCAATCCATTTTGATATAGAAATTCATGTATTCTATTGATTGAACACATCTACAACTAAGTAATTGTGTATTATGTATTATATTCTCAATTCTCATTCCCTTCTAATTATTTTGTAGCTTAGCAGGTAGGTTTTTCTAATTTTCGAAATTGTGGGATCTTGTCGAAGAGAGGAATAATTATGAGTTCGTAAAAAAAGTATAGTATGTAACGCGTTTGTAAACTCTTCTAGACACTCGTTTATTAAACACTCGCTCTGCTCTGCTGCTTAATATTTTCACGTAGAGAATGCGAATTATCAATGTATTCCTTTATATATGTTTATCAGTTTTTTTCATGTTCATAATATATCTGAGAAAATTCCTTCCTCCTATATTGAGAACGTATGAATTATTGAATAAATAGGAGTTCCCAATCGTATTTCAACATAATACGGCAACTGTGCTATGGTCTGCCCATACGTACGAAATCGTGACATCGGTTTTTATGTGCGGTAAATTTTTAGTTGTTCGAAAATCACCAAGGCAATTCTATTTTCAAAAATGAAAAAAAATGTGACCACTTGCCTATTGCTCCAGTTCGAAAATTGGAAATGAGTTGATCTATTTCAATGGACATTTTACATTGCAAAAACATTGTGAAGATTATTATTATTCTCGGAGTCCTATAGTAGTACTTGATTCTCTTCAAGGTCACGTGTCATGTCCAGCTATTAGGCGACGCCCAATTCGTGAAAACCCCAGACGGATTCCAAAAGATATCGAGTTTTCACATACACTTTTACGGGGTGAAACATGATTGTCCGACACAAACGATAAGGGTGGAACAAAGCCAGAGCGACAGGAGCAAGAAACCGTTCCATCCAGTCTTGTAAGTAAAAAAAAAGAGTTTTTTCCACTACTGACCTGAGAAATCACCACTATCCAAGGATTTTTTCAGATGAAAAAGTTATACTGTTTTAACCTAGGTAAATAATCTTGAAGATATTTCACCAAGTTAAATTATGAAACACTGTGAATAGTGTCAATCTCATGCCCATGCAACCAATGAAAAATTACATATTCATAAATTACCCAAACGTAAACCAAATATAGTTAAGACTGCAAAATTTACTACAGCTTTGGAATTATGTGAAAATAATAATTATCAATTCTCAAAATGTCACAAATCACTCATATGTGCTAATAATTAGAGAAGAGCATCTACTGAAAGAATATGTTCGAAGATTGATTCGATTTATCTTGTACAGGGTGGCTGGCCATTTTCCGCATAACAAAATGTCGTTTTGAAATTTGGAAAATTTCGAATACCTTCGGAGATTTACGAAAAAAAAACGAAATTTTCTGAAACCTTCTCAATTTTTCTTCAAGTTATTAGAAGAAATTCATCAAAATGAATGACACTGTATTATGTCCACTATTTGTTTCCTACAAGCTAAAAGTTGGCGTTTTCAAATTTGAAATCCAACGTTTCGTATTCCAGAAATCATCTTCAAACTATTTTTTTTAAAACGGACCTGAATTTGTTTATTTTTTTCCACACCTTTGGATATCCCATAATATGCTATGAGCTATCAGAAATTTTTATTTTCGAATGTTTGGTGTAAAAAAATTGACAATATCTTCTTTGACAATAAAATAATACAGAGAAATTTGATTTGATGATGGTTTCTAGATGACGAATCGTCGTATTCCAAATTTGAAAAACGCCAACTTGTAGAGAAGAAGTTAAAAGTTTCATTAAATTTGATTAATTTCTTCAAATAACTTGCAACAAAGTGAAATAAAAAACGGTTTTAGGAAATTTCGGTTTTTTCTATACGAAAGTATTCGAAATCTTTCAAGATTGAAGGAGACATATTGTTAGGCATAATATTGCGAAACTCAATGATGAGGCTCAAATTCCAGTCACCCTGTACATCATTTCAACTGTAGCATCTGTGGTGTTCATAAATTCTTCAATCATTTCAATGAACAGTGTGTTCTCAATATCATCTTGTGATATTTATCAGTATCCTTCCTTCAGGCGCGGTACATGCTTATTGCTTCCATATCAAAATCACTGCCACCTAATTTATCTCTCATTTTTTGTTGTTATTCACAATTCCACCTGAAATTTTAATACATCGTCTATTTTCTGACAGCAAATCGATTTTATTTTTTTTAACTCCTAGACTACTGGATATATCGAAATTTTAGTAATATGCTGAGTAAACATGTTGAAATGGCATGACATTGCTCCTTCAATGGAAATCAAAATCTGCTATAATGAAAGATGTTGATATTTCAGTGTCAGTAGTAGAGAATATATTTTTTCTACGTCTATAACACAAAATTGCTCTTGTTTTACTGTGTTCGATACGTCAATGAGGTACTTTGTATGTCATCAATTTTATTTCCGTATCTGATATCACAATGACTCCATTGTGTTATTATTTCTCATCTTATTATTTATTTATTTACATTATTTCTAAACAAATCTCATCGATCATGGAATGTCAAATTTCAAGCAATGACAGCTCTGTCTAATAGATGAGCATAACTTGACAGGAAATCAGATGGCTACAGGACGAAGAAATCGAAAATGCTGCTGCTATCTATTATAGCCGTAGAAAAATTATAGTGTATAACGGAATGCTAATTTCCTTTCATTCTCGTAGGAAATCACAATCATTCCGTGCTCGTTAAACAATATAATAATTTTTCGAATGACAGGGAAGTAGGGGGTTTATAAGTTGGTTTTTACGTTTGCAGAATTGAATTGGTTAATTCGCAAGTGACGAAACTCACAGTGGGCCGACTACACTTCAGCGAGACGACATCGAATAACATGAGGAAAAAAGGGAAACCCAATCCTGAACAAAGATATTTTCAGGTAAACAACTGATTTTTTTGAGATGATTTGTGAATACATAGTTGATGGATATACCAATACTGGAAATGTACTATAAAACATAAAAATATTCTTTTTGTGACGGAAAAAAAGTTTGACATTTCATCTCTGTTGACAGGTTACAAAATGTCACATTTCTTAAAATTACTTTTTCCTCTTCATGGTATATTATGAGTTGTATTGTATAATAAATTAGTGTTAATATATCATAGGAGCATATCACTTGAAGAAGTCACTTTTTTAGCAAGAGATGTTCAGTTTTTAAAAATCTTGTGTAAATCTTATCGTTTATAATTTTTTCAAACGAATTTATTATAGACAAGCCATACCTTTAAGAATAATCGGTGTGTCAAATTGAAATTTACTATGGGTATATGGTATGTGAAAAGGAAAGTTTTTGCACTTTCCAGTCACTTTCAGATTCACCGGAAATTGTTCCGGTTTTGTATTTTCAAATAGATCACCCTGTATATCATAACATTTTTGAATTAACTGAGACAATTCTGGAACAGATTATGACATTTTTAGAAGTTTTTTGGAAGAAGACAGGTAGACAAAATTATATTTCCGTGTCTAACTATCATTTTTCATTTGGCAACCATTTTTTGATAGGCACTTTCCGGAGGAAAGATTTTTTGAAGAATCTAACGCTACTAATTTATTTGCGATTGGATTGAAAATATGAACATGAATTTAATATTGCTAAGGATTTATTCACATTTTTTCAAGTGTGCCATGGATAGCCATGATGCATAATATTTTGCAGTTATTTTTTCGGCTCTTCTTTGGGAAACAAAACTCTCCGGTATCCACTTTTCACTTTGATTATACATTATTTTGACAGAAAATTGAACTGAAATTCAACGAAAATAAATCATATGTAAGTAGCTTTGAGTTTCATGAGAAAAAGTAAGATATTGGTTGAGGGTCAAAAAGGTCAAACAAGTAAGTAGTGGAAATAAGAACATGCATTTAATATTACTAAGGCAAATACTGGTTATTTATTTATTGACATTTGTCAAGTTTAGTGTGCCATGGAAAGCTATAATGCATAATATTAGTGTTAGATAAGTGGTTAGCCTTCTAGAGACCGAGGCGTTACTGGTGGCCCACCCTGTATAATCAATAGTATATAATACAAAGATACATTCCTAGTGAACTTTATAAAAATATTAGTACCTAAAGTTAATTCAAGAAAGAATAACAAAACATTTTTTTTTATACAAATCATCTAGATTGTTGTCCTATGAATGAAATGCTACGACAATGTAATATACTTGCAGTAACGTGACTTTCTCAACTGTAATTTGAAAGAAATAAAATCAGCTGTTTTCAATATTGAATGTATTTTATATTATCTCTGTGTAGTTTTTAAGTTTAGTTTTCAAATTTAGCTCTAAGTCATTTTGTTTTGAAGCACTATCTCCTATATGTAAATACTCCTGGCTGTGTTTGTAAGAGAGAAATCTTAAATAAAATACCACACGTAACTTTGGTACTTATAGGTATAAAACTAAGTTTAGGAATTTGATATATCCGTGTAAATTCTTTGTTTATAAAAATATGTTCAATCCAATCGCAAATAAATTAGTATCATTAGATTCGTCAAAAATGGTCACTAAAACTTTCAGATTATAATTCTCTGACATCACTTGAGGTCCTTAGATAAGTTCACGTCAGATCATGGGCACCCAGACGTAATATCGAAAGTGCTTCTAAAACAATGAAGTAGGCGTAAAATCTTCTGAAAATGTCTTAATCTCTGATCCAGAATTGTCTCAGAAATTCAAAACCGGAGCCATTCCTTGACACCCGGTATTCATGATATTCATCTCGTCTTCGTTTTGTTTAGCTGGTGGTCGGTCTGCATGCTCACACGACGAACGGAAATTTTCCGATCGTCAGTCAAGCCAGTCAAAAAATCATCGTCAGAGTAAGTAACAATCTGGTATCTCACAAACTGCGTGTAAATCGAGGAGTTTTGCAGGCTTCGAATCCTGGCCAGTTCGAGAGCGACGTGGAATTGTGTTGGCAAAAAGGACAAACGCAAGTAAGTGGGAAGTTTTAATTTACCTATACCGCGAGACAACATCATTAGCTAGGTTGACAATTTTCAATGGAACCCTGTAGATATTTTTATCTACAACTATTTAGAGTCACTAGATGGTATTAGTTAGATAAAAGTTCGGACACTTCTGTCCTTTTCTATTTTCTATATTACAATGGTTTGAGTGAATAAAAGAATGAGACTTATATTCTGCTCTTTGTCTATTCAATTTCCCTAGTAGCACCTGATTGTCAGATACGATTTCAAGATCAGGTTAGATGTTCTGTCAAATCAATCATTGTCGTAGATTGAAAATAGAAATAGAGTCTGAACAACCACTTCAATCTATATGGTGATACACTTTTCGCAGAATAATAGTTGGAAAAAAAAATGTAACAACATTTTAATATGACAAAATAGACACATATGAATATGCTTATAGCTCGTTCCTTATTGTATGTAGAACTGTACCCGAGTGACAAAGTTTGAAACATGAAGTTTGTTTTGAAATTCCACCTTGTGCTGCATTCACTTTTGACTGATAAATTTTGAATTCTGTCGGTATTTAAAACGCCATTCGACGATTTTTCACGTTGCAATTTACTTGATTTCCTCAGCTTCGTTCTCAAATTTTCAATTTTATTAGGTAGTTTTTCAATAAATTCCTCTTCCTCTATGATAATTTTGTTTTGAATTTCGTGTGATGATAATATTGAATTTTTTTTTCAATAGTCTGTTTTGTAAATGAATAAAACAACGGATCTTATAAATCTTCTGTTTGAGAATGGGACTAAAATATAGTTTCATCACAATCTGCTGTTATAAGAAGTGAATTTCAATGCATGTACCTACCCCACAAATTTTGCTTGATTTCAAATTAATTTTCCATCCAGCCGTTCCATATATTCCTTCCATAAGGGAATGGTTGATATTTTTGTTTGGTAAACTAAAGAAATTTCATAAGGGAATGGTTGATATTTATGTTTGGTAAAGTAAAGAAATGAAATCACCATTCCATTCAGAATTCCCGCAATTCATTACACAATTATAAGGTGTGTAACTTGATAAATCTAAACATTCAAAACTACTAACAGTTGTCATTTCTGTGTTCGAACTCTTATCTAACTAATACCATCCAGTGACTACTACTAATGAGTCATTCATGCATTGCTAACTTGATTTTCAACACTTAATGACAGACATTCTTATTTTATTTATTTTGAAAATAACATACATGTCAGCCAATATGTATACAGAGTGATGTTAATTAGTTGAGTGCCGATAAAAACGATCACGTGGCACTCAATCATTGTTGAAGACCCGTCACTTCTATGTTGACTCAGTAAAACCATTCATCATTTTAATTATAATAGAGGGTGAGTCTTCAGTGTGTTCGATATTGGCCAAACTGTCAAATATATAGAAAAAATTCAAATACAACAGTTATAGGGTTTCATGAGATCTATCATCTAAAATTATTTTCATATCTATAGGGTTTTCGAATTCCAAGATATCGGCTGATGATTGGCTTTTTGAAATGGGACACCCTGTATATTATTGCATTTGTAGGTTCTACCTGAAGAGTTGATTTCATCAATGCATCACACTTGGGGTATAGCGGAAACGATTACAATGATATAGGGTGTTCAAAATCGAGATTTAGGGACATGTAAGCCGTTTTGACCAATCATGAATATCCTTAAGTTGAGAAATCTCGATTTTGAGCACTCTATATCTCTGTAATCATTCCTGCTATACTCCAAGTGTGATGTATTGATGAAATCAGCTCTTCAGGGAGAAACTAAAAATGCAATAATAGAACAAACTGAGCAATTTAATATTGATTGATTCAAAATTTGTTTCTTTTCCCTATGGTAGGTATAGGTATAGGTAGGTACATATATAGGTGAGTAACTGAACTTGAAATTCACTGTAAGGGATTAAAAACTGAATATTTTAAATATCTGCACTGTTAATCAATTCAAAATGAAATTTCACTTACGATTTCGAATAATTCACCACCAGAAATGAACTATCTAACCATAATTATGCAATGAAGTACCACGAATTTTCATCTAAGTAGTTTCAGTTGAGTTATCTAACGTCCCCTGTTTTATTTTCTGAAATGAAAAAATCGAAAAATTAATATCCGAGTAATCATCGCTTCATGTCCGAATTGGCAACGTTGTAAATTCTATTGTGCATTTTATTGACACCCAGGAGGAGGTGAGGGTATTACCAACCCAAATTCCTCGCGCAATGACGTCACACGTTTCGCGGCCATGTCTCATCGTTTGAATTCGCTAGTTCAATTTGGCGTTTTCAATAATTTTTTATACGATGATTTGATAAAATCTAAAAAATATTTCAGAGCCATATATTTCGGGATATATTTTTTCTAGAAATGACTGGAAGGCCCATTCGATCACCCTATAGATATGAAAATAATTTTAGGTGATATTTTTCATGAAACAGTTCGAATTTTTTTTATATATCTGACGGTTTGTAGACTGTTACCTAGGTTGAATTCATATTCAATCAAGTCACAACACTGCGATCTCCGACGCCACGCACAGTCGAACTGGATAAAATCCAGTGACTACTCCCGTATTATCATTATTATTATTATCATTTGACTTTTTCCAGGACTCTGTTGTGCACAGTGGTAGAGTGGGGATAAACACAGAGAGACCGGACGAATCTCTCGTGGTGCACGGAAACATCAAAATAACTGGGCACATCATCCAGCCGAGCGATATCAGAGCGAAGAAAAACATTACGGAATGCAACACGGCAGAACAACTGAAGAATGTGCAACGGTTGAGAGTTGTTAGGTCAGTTATAATAGATTATTATTATTTAACTACTGTCTGTAGGTTAACCGAGGAGGTGGTACATTCATTATTCCAGATCTTTTGGGATCTTTCCTCCTCGTTTCTATAAGATGAAAACATGAATATTATTTCAATATATGCGTAGTCAAATCAGATGATTTGCCCCAAAATGTCACTGCGTTTAAAGAGTTTTCCTATCAGAGAGCCTAAAAGAAAAATTCACCAGCTTGTCAGTGACAATTTGTATTGAAGAAGAGAAATGAAGGTATATAGAAGAAATATCAAATTTTCACTTAGCTTTGGACGTTTCGGTAACGAATCTGCTCTTGTTTTCAACATAATAGAATATTTGTCTTGACACTTCTCAGTTCTCAGTGACAATTGGTGACGTTGGCAATCAAATGAATCACAGAATGTTTTCATTAATCTCAAATTTACCATTTTTATTTTCTGATATCAGTAGTGAATACCATGTTTTATCAATATCAACTAAACAGAAAGCAATGCTATTGTCTCCGTTCAGAAGAATGCAAGCAGATTCCTGGATTTTTCTCTTCTAGTTATCTTATTTTGCAATGATTTCAATATTATTTCACTCTGCCATATGTTGTTCATCTCCAGTGAGGATATGTTCAGCTAGTTTCGATTTGTCGATATTCTTTTCTTTATATTGTACTTATGTTCATTCGTAATTACTCAAAGAGGTCTCTTGGTTTCACCTGTATAACACTTTCCACAAACACAAGGTATACTGTAAATACAATTTTTTGACGATTGTCGAAAGACGAAAGGGAATCCCTATGACGTTCGGAGAAAATCGCGCTTACCTATGGGGATAGGGAGATGAGGTAGGTATTGGAATTTTTGTTGAATTTTTGGTGATTATACGTTCTTGGGAATACTTATTTTGGCAAAGAATTCCATAGCTCTGCTGTTTTACAGACAAACGAGTTTTGATAAAGGGCTTGTTAACCTCTCTCAAGATTGATGTTCGTCATCAATCTTGGGCTGATTGCTGATTGGGCTTGTCGAGTTCTTATGACTGGTATTGCTAGTGATGAAATGTTAGCAGAGATAGGAACATTTTCCATGGAAGTATCTATAGAAAAGTGACAGGTCGCCGACTTCTCCACGGTGCTCTAATGATGTAAAAGAGTTAGTGAGTGTGGCATCACCCACCAGGCGAATGGCTTCTCTGGATGGAATCTAAAAGCATCAGCGTATGTTTGGGTGCTAAACCCTATTATGTGGGAACAGCATTCTGAAACTGGACGTATCTGTGCTTTGTAGATCATGAGAAGCTGTTGAGGTGCAAAGTAGATCTTCCCATGGAATAAAAGTCCCAGTTTTGGTGAAGAAGCTCTCGCGATGGATCTGACATGATTTCCACATGAAAGAGTATCACTGATGAAAATACCGAACATAGATATGGAGAACTTTGTGGGAATCTTGATACATTGATTGATATATCAGGCATACTGAGTTCCGTCTTTCTAGAATAAATACAGGCTTGACTTTTGGAGGCGTTGAATTCAACTAGGTTGTTGGTTCATTAGGCTGTAATTCCAGCAACAGCGTTGACGTCCTTTCGTCGTGAATTCTTAGTTTCCTGAGAAGAAATTGGATGAGATGGATGAGAACGCAGTATGGAGAGTATAGGAGAATACTATCATCTGCAAACTGTGGATGGGGCAAGTGGTTACTTCCAACAGATCATTGATATGAAGTAGGAGCAATGTTGGCACTAAAATTGGTCCTTGTGGAACGCCGGAATTGATGGCAATGGAATCAGACGATACTCCGTCCACTACCACGTGAAGCGATCTACTTGAAAGAAAACTTGATGAAAGAAAGCATAGCCGAAGTAGTAGCAGAACAGATCAGATGATTTGACCCAAGTGCGTTTGGAAAAATGTTCTATCAGAGAGCCTAAAAGAAAAATCAAATCGTTTGTCAGTGACACTTTGCTTTGAAACATGTTTGTAGTCAAGGAACATAGATATATTGTAAAAATATCGAATTTTCATTTATCTCTAGACGTTTCGGGAACGAATCTGTTCCCGTTTTCATCATGACAATTTTAAAATATTATTCTTTGAAAGTTGTCTTCTTATACTGCGACAATTCTCAGTGAGTGATGTTCGTATACAATTGAGTTACAGGATGTTTTCATTAATTAATCTTGAATCTACAATTTTCATGTTCAATTTTCAGTAGCATGTTCTCACTATATCAACAAGAGGAAGCAATGTCAATTGTCTCCGTTCAGAAGAATGCAAGCAGATTGCTTAATTTTCCTCTTTTGGTTGTTTTCTTTCTTTCCTGTCATTACAGTTTCATTCCACTCTGCCATATGTTGTCCATTTTCAGTAAGGACATGTTCAGCTAGTTATGATTCGACGATATGTCTTTTCTTGATACTGTACTCATGTTCTCTCGTCCTTAATGAGAGATATATCTTTGTTACACAACACATGGTAAACTATTTTAATTTTTTTCATGAGTGTTCTTTTCTTGACACTGTACTCATGTTCTCTCGTCCTTGATGAGAGATATATCTTTGTTACACAACACAAGGTATACTATTTTAATTTTTTTCATGAGTGTTCACCATTTTCCGGCTTTGTTCGAGTTAGAATGGATTTGTATTTTCAGTTTTGAACACAGTTTTGACTTGAAACTTATCTGCAACACGTTATATTTTTTCAGATATGCCGGGAATGTATTGTATAATATATTTGTCGTTATTGATGGTGGTTTTTGTTGGGATGTATCTTGTTTGTTTTCAATTAGGTGAATCGTTTTATATTTGCGGTAGTCAAGGTCATCATCTGACGTTGCGATGACATGAAAACTATGGGAAAACACTCCTAAACTCCTGGCTTAGATTGAAAGCTGGACGTGTTTCCCGTAGTTTTCATGTTATCGCAACGTTTAGACAATGACTTTGACTACCGCGAATCCATTCCCTAACCTAACCTAACCTACAGACAGTACATATGATGGTAGTCCGTGGAAAAGTTCTTGGTGCCAAATACGGTCGAATGCCTTCGATAAATCTAACACCACAGCTAGAGATGCTCCAATGAAGCGCCTAATGTAAGCTAGTATCTCTCCAGTTGATCGCTGAGAGTTATCTGACAGTAATTTCCATCATGCAAGAATTAATAGGTTCTTGGCAGAGATGCGAGCGTTTTCCCATTTTTTCCGCTCATGAGCTCAATGACTTTTTTTTATCTCTTGGAGCGCACGAGAGGAAATTCCTATAATGTTCATGGAACATCGTGTGTACCTAGGGAGGATAGGGAGATGAGGTAGGTGTTGGCATTTTTTTTGAACTTTTGGAAGTTATAAGCTCTTGGGGATACTTCTATATCGAAGAGTGGAACCTTTGGCACGATAATACACTACACTGTTTCACCACTAACCAAACCGATTTTTTAACCACCTCGACACGCGTTTCGCTAACTACGTTAGCATCTTCAGGAGAAGATTAAAACTAAATCTAAATATCCTATTCTAGTGTGCTGCTTATATACTAGGTATATGTTCACCCACCGTGAGAAATACTAACCGCCAAGCTAATGTTTGTCATGGTTGAGTTAACATGTTAATCTCAATTATCCTTATCCATTACGCTATTACTATTCTTGAATATCTCTAAGCTTTCATATGTGTCTAATTTTTTAATATTATTAACTTGCTTAACTAATTAAAGGTTACTCATATGTGTGTTATGATTGTGATTGAACATGTGTTCGGCTACACACGATTTATCTAACCTACCATATATTAAATGAGCTATGTGTTCTTTGAACCTTGTTTTTATGGGTCGCCTGGTTTGGCCTATATGTGTTTTATCACAATCATTAAAACTTTTTTCGTATATTCAAGTGTGTTCACTTCATATTTCGGATTGCCAAATAAAAAAAGATTCTTCTTGAGTGTGAGTCTTATTTTACTGTCTTCTTTATTTCATTTTGTCAAATATATTTATGAATTCACTTTGTTCCCTGCTATAAACAAATGTTGTTTCTTGTGAATAATAAAGTTGATTGATTGATTGATTGAAATTGCCTAATTTCGACCCAGACTGATAAACGCTTTCAAAACCCAAGTCTTTGAAAACCTTATCAAGTCCCTTCGTATACTTGGGATTAAACGTGATTGAGATTCTTCTAGTTCTTTCTATCCACTTGAAATGTCGTAGAATTTCGAAGTGTTAACTTAAATTTATGTCTACGTATTAATTTATCTACTATTTTGATATCATAGCCATTGACGCCAGCCACTTCATAAACAACACTTCTTTCAGCATCGAATCTTTCTTTGCTCAGAGGGAATAAAATTAATCTATGTACTAGTTTTAAATTTACCATTTTGTGTTGAAAACAGTGATTGGAGTCATTAGGTATGTATCTAAATGTGTTAGTTTCTTTTCTAAAAACATCAAATTATATATCACAATCATAACACACATATTACTAACCTCAAATTAATTAAGCAAGTTAATAATATTAGAAAATTAGACGCATATGGAAGCTTAGAGATATTTAAGGATAGTAATAGCATAATGAATAAGGATAATGGACCTATTCCATATAGCCTTCCATATAGCCCTCTATATAGTTTAGTAATATAAAAATTAAGATTGACATGTGAACTCAGACATGACAAACATTAACTTAACGGTTAGTATTTTTCACGGTTGGGTGAACATATACCTATTATATAAGCAGCACACTAGAATAGGATATTTAGTTTTAATCTTATCCTGAAGATGCTTACATAGTTAGCGAAACACGTGTCGAGGCGTTTAAAAAATCGGTTTGGTTAGTGGTAAAACAGTGTATTGTACTTTGGTAATTTTGTATTGAGATTGACCAGTGTCGTAAGCTACTTTGTTGATCGGTTGAAGAATGAATCTATTAGTATTGTCCAAAGCCACCGTTCTTTTTTATTGCATTGCCCATACCCCATAAGCCGGAACTTGTGTGGGGATATCGATGTATACAAACACAAATATCCATGGCCTAACATGGGATTCAAACCCATATCTCGGTGGAAGTCCACATACGAACGCCTTTGCTCTCTCGACCATCGAACCACCTTTTTTTCAATAGATTTTTTACCTTATGTGAACATGACCGAAAAACAAAACACCTAGGCAACAGGCTGTCCGTTTTGCATTTCTCCCTCATGAAGCATGGGAGAGTTATTATGTTGAAATACATAACAAATATTTTATTCTATGAACAAGAACATTGCTTTCCTACGATTCTAATTGGAGAGGGAAGAGGATAAGAATAATTAATGAAACATAAATTGTTTGAGAGTAGTTTTGAAATGTTTCATTTTATTCGTGTTTTTCAAACATTCAGGCAGAAGGTAATACAGTTTTGGTCCAAAGTAGGAAACAAAACGATGTGTATGGCTTTTTTATAACGAGGAATTTGAATAATTTCATATTCACTGGATCAATTATGAATATTTGTGTACATCCAAATTGAGGATCGATAAGTGCCTTATGTCAAATATATTTGTTTCCTCATAAAATGTCTCTGTTGAGAATAGTTTGCATTATTATATTAAGTTTCATGGTTTGGGCTGATTGTAGGCTCCCTATTGTATTATTGAAAGTAGAGCTCCATGCTGTTATGCAATAATTTATTATTGACTCTACTAGCGAGTTGAATAAAATAATTAGATTTTTTAGAGAAAGAATATCTCTGAACATAGAACTTATGCATGAATAGTCTTATTTATTTGCTAAATATGAAATATGTTCATTCCACCTCATATACTGATCCAGAATGAGTCCAAGATATTTGATGGGTTTAGTTTTCTCGATTTTACAATAGCTACAGTTTTTTTCATTTTTACAACTTGGTTTGTGGATACTTATCTTTGATATATCAGGTTGGTCAGTAGAAGTTGAAGAGGAAGTTATAAATTTTGTTTTATGCACATTTAGACTTGTGATGTCATGTCATGTTAGTTTCTGCCGTTTTATAAACATTATTAAATGCCCGTCAAAGCCATTTATTCGAAATGTACTATTGATTTACTAATGTTTTTTTTTTCAGATACGAATATGAACCGGCTCTAGCACATCAACTAAACCGGTCTAACGAGTGCAGCGACACGGGAGTGATAGCCCAAGAAGTGGCGAAAATTTTACCGGAAGCTGTCAAGCCTGCCGGGGATCTCATTCTGCCCAATGGGACTTCGATCGACAACTTCCTAGTAGTTAATAAAGTAAGTGATCATCGAAAATGATTTTGGTCAACGATATATTGGAATCCATTTTAACCAAGGAATAGTTTTTTTGCTACGGTTCTATATAGGGTGTTTCCGGAATCGAGGCTTCCACCATACCACAACTATTATTGAACGTCTGGCAACATTGCAAAGGTCATTGATAATTCCGGTGCTTGTTATCTCGCCGAAAGCATTCGCTTGGGTTGGGCTTCTTTTTACATCTGATCAATGATTTACAAGATTTTCAGACAAACTTATAATTATAATTATTATTATTAATATTATCATCATTTTTGCTCATTTTCTAATCTCCTCTAACGTTTACCGTTTAGGTATAGTTTTAGATTAGGTAAGTATGTTGAGCATGACAATTATCAAACAATTATTTTACTGAACATGACAAGGGTTGAATGGAAAAGCACTAAGTAGTGAACTCCCCCTCGAGATTTCCGAACTGTTGTAAGAATTGTTGTTAGAATGTAGGTTATCATGGAAATAAAGGCATTTATTATTATTATTATCATGTTGTGCTTTTTTCATAGGTGGTCGTAGGAAAATATTTTTTTCCACTGAAACAGGCCCATTATCAAGTTTTCTCGACTGCCAATAGAAGGTCGGCGCGTTATAGTACTTGTGACGTCAATACCGCTGACGATTATCTGTCGTTTTCTAATACAGCATTTCTTCGGGAATGTATTCTTGGAAATCCATAAGGAATAAAAAATTCGAAAAATATTCTCTGTGCCGTAGTGCGGGTCATAGTATTTTTCTAGAAATTAGTGTTCAAATCAAATCAAAATCAAATCAAAATATGCTTTATTGTCACTTAAGAATGTAATCCTTGTAGACAAAGCTGAATAGGTTATAAAAATAAAATAATAAAATAATGTATACAACAATTATCAACATAAATACAATTTTTCACAAACATGTGCACACATAAGGCTTCGTCTAAAATACTTGTTCATAAAAATCATTAACATTATAAAACACATAAGGGACTAACAAGTTTTTCAATTCTTTCCTGAATTTTTTTATATCCGAGATAGATTTAACAATAGTTGGGAGGTGATTGTACATTTTCAGGCCATTATATAATATGGAATCTTTTATTAGTGAACTGCAGGGCCGGGGAAGCTTCACCATCTCTGACTGGCGTGTGTTGTAACATGAGTTCACGACTTCGTAATTGTCTCTGGTTTTGTGAATCAAACACACCGACTCTATAATAAACAAGGATACTACTGTTGACACTCTGTGCTCTCTGAATAATTCTTTACAAGAGGTTCTTGAACTAACTTTGCATACATATCTTAATGCCCTTTTTTGTAAGATGAATGTAGACTGTAAATTATGGTTGTTACAAGTTCCCCAAAATGCAATTCCGTACCTCAAATGGGATTCTATTAGAGCGTAATATGCCGTCATAGCAGCAGAATAACCCAACTCGTTTGATATCAATCTGATAGCATAGCATCCTGTTGCAAGTTTATTGCATAAGTGTGAAACATGCAGATCAAATTTCAGTTTTTTGTCCACAAAAAGACCGAGAAACTTTGCGTTCAATTTATTTTCTATAATTTGATGATCCAGAGATAAAAGAGGCAACTCACATCTTGTTCTTGCCTATTGTTCATTCTGCCAAAGTCCACCTTCAATTTTCATTTAGACTATAATTTCTTGATAACCCAATCACATTATATGAAAATATGATGAAAGTACTGTACCATATGATACAACAAGAAATTAGCTAACCAAAGTTACAGAATCATTCTCATTAGAAGAAATGTTCAGAATTGAAAATATGAAAATTACATAAACACATAGATAGAACATTGAAATTCAATTTTATTTTAACACGAAACAAAAAAATTCATGGTTACCAAACAAGACAACATGGCTAATTCCATATTGATACTGCTCATTCTTTTATAGGACAAAAAAGATTCACCCACGCTGCTCTGTTTGAATATAACAAATTATCAGATAATATAAAGACTCCCAGAAATATAATCAAATTCAAATACGAACTTGAAAAGTTTATCATTTCTGAACGAAATAGATAATTTTGTTCCCTTTTTTTCTAACTTTTGATTCCTATTCAAATTGATTTTTGTTCACCAATATGAAATTATTTGTATACATTTTATATTCAATGTATTCACATATTATATTATTCATGCGAGTTTGTTATAATTGTATAGTTAGGTATTATTAACAACTATACTTCCTTATAGAAGAACTTGTTTCTGACTGGAAGTCACATTTTCAATAAATAAAATGAATATTCTATTCCATTCTATTCTCTAAAAGTTGATATGTTTCGATAGGAAAGAATATTTATGGAAAACATTGGGGCAGTGAAGGAGCTCTGTAAAGTGACCGATAACTTGGAAACGAGAATCGATCAACTGGAGAGGATAAACAGGAGGTTGAACAAACTCAAACGGGGTGATAGTCTCAAGTCCACAAGCACAGGTGAGTCGATTATATACCGGGTTACTGAAAAAAGCGAATATACGCACTGTGTCCATAAAGTATCCTTCCCCCTAGTTATAATTCTGAATGAAAACCTAGTTGCCTATACAGGGCGTCACTCATTTGTTTTTCAAGTTAGAATTTTCAAATTTGGATCGAGGATATAGTTCCTTACAACCCATATTTTACATGAAGAAGCAATTGAATATCACTTCCGGTTTCACCGGAAATTGACTTAGGTCAAGAATTTCAAATGGAACCCTGTATATAATTTTAAGCCAATGGATAGAGCAAACAAATCCCGTTTCAATTATATATCACTAGTGGACATTTGTTTCCAAAATGGCGGCGGAGCATACATAAAATCTGAAATCAATATAATAAAGAAGATGATGGAAAGCCCTGATTTCGAGTGACAATGGAAAATGAAAAAACTCCACCGCCCCGCGTGAGAGTCGAACTCAGAACCTCTGGATTACATGCCCAACACTCTGCCAATTGAGCTAACGGTACATCCGTCGATCAATCGGCAGGAAGGTTGAGTTCTGATCACACATGCACCAGGTGGCAGAATCCTTCCAATTCCCGAAGTCACTCGAATCCATGCACTATATGAAGTATCGCTGGCAGGATGGTACTATACAGTCTCCATTTTTCCCCGTTCGTCCTCTGGCATTGTCTTTCCTTCTATACGAAAATGTCCGCAAGCAATCTATACATAGAAGTGAGTGAAAATTATCACTCAAAAGACAATGCCAGAGGACGAACGGGGAAAAATGGGTCCTATGTCCTTTCTAATACATCTAAGAATATGTATACAAAATTTCATGATAATCGGTTTAGTAGTTTTGGCGTGAAAGCCTGACGAACAACACATTTTTTATAAGATTAGTAGGGAATAAAAATTCTTTGTTATTTATTCAGGTTGGGTTATTGAAAAAGACAGCCTTCAAAATAGACAATATGGAGGCCACTCCCGTATGGGAATTTCAGTTTTGGAGTGTTTCTTTCCTTCGTTTTTACTCAGATGGCCTTGCTTCCATATTGTCTATGAAGGACGCCTCTTGGGAAATATAATGCCGACTTGATTTTTGTTTGACTAGGCTACGCTTAGTCGGTGGTCTTAGGACTGCTAGCTGGAGACTGCCCTGCACTGATGAGTCAAAGAGCTCGAAACCGGTCTGTAGGTGTCTAGTATGGCCTGGCTAAATCAAAATCAATAGGCATTCAGGAAAGATACACTTGTATCAGTATTCGCTTATACGAGCCGATGCATAGATTTTGGGAGGATGCAATTCAATGTTCTGCATGGCATTAGTCAGGAAAGTAGTTGATTTTCTCCCGAAATCTACCATTGTTGTTCATTTTATGAACATTGTGTGGAAATGACATTGAGCTTTTTGTATTTATTTAACATTTCATTAAACTTTGTGCGTTGTGGCTATTTCGTAGTTGACAATAAAAATAGTTGTGACTCACCACAAACAATTAGCAACGATATTGCCATGGTAAGAAAGTGGTGTGATTCCAGTATGTTGTCCTTCAACATCTCTAAAACAAGTGTCCTAACTTTCAATTGCACTCTGTAGGAATAACTTCAGTTATAGGCAATCAAGTAATTAGTAATAGAACAGATACGAAATTGATGATAAGTTGAAGTTTAGTGATCATATTGTATTGACAAATTAAGAAGAAACAAATTGTCATCTGGCTGTTATGCAGTCAGAACAACATTATAACAACATTATAAACTTGGTATGGATATGGCCAAAAGTGTATACTTTGCTCTCATTGATCCACACTATAATAGAAGACGGGCACATAATTTAAATGTACCAATACCCATGGTGAAATTATAGTATGTTGTGCTACGACGCTTCTTCGTATACGTCACTGTGAGTAAAACAATTGCTCACAGTCTGAGCTCTTAGTTATCAGTTCGCCCGAGTTGCCGTAATCATTTTGGTGCGAGTATAGACTCGCAATGACGTTATGCGCAGAAAAGACGAATTCAAGCTACCAGAATAGCACACCATATAATATTTCCACCATGCCAATACCTCTAGCTCTACATTAATAATTAACTCTTTCATTTAGAATGGCAGAAAATTGTATAATCATTTGCCTGATGGGGTAAAATGTATCTACAACCAAAAAAATTTCAGAAACTTAGTCAAAAGTCTACTAATGGAAAAGGCTTTTTACTCTTTGGACGAATTCTTCTCAGAGAAATTCCTGAAATAATTCAAATATTGTTAACATCAAATTGAAAGGAAAAGTTTACATGTTCGCTGATGACACTCCATTGATCTATTCCGCAGACTCAATCCAACAAATAAGAAATGCAATTGAAAGTGACTTGATTATTTTATTTTCATGGTTGTCCTATAATAAACTGAGTATAAATTACAGCGAATCAGCATTCATGTATATCTCTAAACGACGCCTCTCAAGTGAACTGAAATTTGATATCAAATTCAATAATGAAATCATCAAATATTCCACAGCCATCAAATTCCTTGGGATATTCCTTGATGAACATTTGTCATGGTCCAAACATATTGAATCGATCAGAAAGAAAATATCTCCAGTAATCGGAGTACTCTACAGGATCAGACACCAAATCACTTTGAAATACTTGAAATGTATATATTTTTCCTTGGTTTATTCAAAATTACAATACTTGATTTCAGTTTGGGGTACAGCTAGATTATCAATCATGAAGCCAATCAAAATCCTTCAAAACAAAGTTATTAAATGTATATACAAACTAGATTACTTGGAATCAACAAGAAATCTTTATAAACCTAGGCAATTGTTAGATATCAACTCCATTTACAAATTCAAAATATTGAATTTCATCCATTCCGTCAAATATAATTATTAACATTCAAATCTGAATCTTGAAGTCAATAGTCATAAACACGAACACATAACCAGACAAAAAGATATGTTAACTCTCATCAAAATTCAATCAGATATGGGTAAAAGATCTATTTTATACAATGGAACAATTCTCTATAATGAATTACCTGCCAGACTAAAGAAAAAATTAAGTGTTGAGAAATTCAAAAAAGAACTGAAAAAATACTTATGTCTTTGATTCTCTCTATATCATCCTGAATCAATTCAAGAAATTATATTCAACAGTCTCTAGAAGAAACAACATTATATGTATTATGTATATGATTTAAAAATGATTATCTGATTATCTAATTTTTGTTTTTTAGTTGCTCTTTCATAATTTTCCCTGCTATAAACATATATGTTTCTTGGGAATAATAATAAAGATAATTATATTGTGACGTATTTCGATTTAGAACTTTGAAGTACATTGTGTGGTTTTAACAGTGTTCGTATTCTTTATTCATTTTGAATTGTTGACTTATGTTTTGTAAGGCTCACATATACATTGTATTTATATTTTGTTGGTACTCTACTTTATTCCTTTATATATTGATATATGCATGTCGCCTTTGTTAATGAGAATTCTATTCTTCAGACAATAAAGTATATTTTGGTTTGATTTGGTGTTACTTCAATGATAGGGTTTAAAATAAAAATATGTCTGAACTCGTTCAATGAAGGGGTACAGAAAAAGTACACTTTACCTCTTATAAATTATATTTTGTGTCTCATGTTTTTCGTTCAGCTGTTTAACAATATGATAAGTGTGTCCACACTCTTCAAAGAACGTAACGTAATGATTTGATCAAGGCACTCTAGTTGATAGGTTTCTGGTATGAGATTTTGAAATTCTGATGTCATCTAGAGAACTGAAAGAGGTTACAAATAAGGTACCACTCGACCCCCCATTCCTTTTGAAATATTCTCCCAAAATGGCATCCAGGCGCCCTTTTGAGAGATACAACAACCATCAGAGCAGAAAAAAATTAAAGAAATCCCAGCCTTTTGAACATTAACTAGGGTGGAGGTAGCATTTTGGACACAGTGTATGAATATTATGCACATATCAATGGCTTGTTTTTGTTTCAGTTAATAGTTCTAAGCTATCGTATTCGCACAAATGCTCAAAGCATCTACGCCATACCTGTTACAAAGATGAAGAACTTTGTTCGAACAAATTTATACAAATTATCATAGTGGTATTAGTTATAATAATGGCATTCTGGTAAGTACCATGAAAATTAGAATTATGTGAATAGGGTGGGTAAATTTTCAATTTTGAATAGGTTTCCTTGGTAACAGCTATTGGAGACACAAAATAATGGAAGTCTGTTTTTGAAAATAAGTTCGCTGGCGGGAACAAAAATTTGCTAGCATCTTCTATTTTTTGTATAATCCAGTGGCGCTAAGAACATTTGAACAACAAATGGGCAATTTCAAGATATTGCCAAAGTTACATTTTTCCAAATGAAAATCATAGTTGACTATGGTCTAATTGAAACAGATTTTTTTTCTTCTTATCATGTATCATATGAAGAATATTTGGAAATTCTTCGCATCAAAGCCAATTACGTTTCAGCATTGCCGTAAGAAATGTTCTAACTAGTACTGTAATTTTGATGAATCGTCTCAGTAGACTTGTCATGACTACCATCCTCATGTTTTTCTACAAAAATGTTTGCATATAACTGTGATCTTGGTGAATAAGGTAACGCAATAGACATGAAACTGATTTCCGTACACCAAAAATACCAAAAATACAGGAATTTGCTAACAAATTTGGAGATTCTTGTTATTCAGATCAGTCAGTCAAATTTAAGTACCTTTTCTTTTAACGGCGCGTCATAATTTATTTATTTATTTATTTAATTTGTAATACATCCAGCAGGCCAAGGCCCAATTACAGGAGTATATAATAGAGATTACTATACATATGGTTGAGTGTGATTTCAATTAGGTATAATCAAAGTTAGTTAAAATTTTTAGTTAGGAACTAAACTGGAAATGGTTTGTTTAAATTGTTTTGAGGTGAGAAAAAATATATCAACAGTTCCAAGTTTATTATAATTTCTGCACATTGAATTGATTGGGGAATGAAAATGGTGCTGTGTGTTATACATATTAATGTGGAATGTATCTTGATACCGAGAGGCTAATCGGGGTATACTAAACTCGATCTGCGAAAGTAATACTGAGGAGTCTATAGTATTGTGTATAATTTTATAAACAAAAAGTAAATCACCTATTTCTCTCCTCTTCTTCAGCGATTGGAACTTGAACTCATTCAACAGAAGGTCATAATTACAGTGCCTTTCGGGGTAGACTTTATATTTTTTGTAAAATAAGTATTTCAGAAATTTACGCTGTACCATTTCAATAGCAGAAATTGTTTGTTGGTGGTACGGATTCCATACCTGACTGCAGTATTCCAGTTTACTTCTAACCAAACTAAAGTATAACTGACAAAGTGCTTCTAATGATTTAAATTCACTACAAGTACGAATTAAAAAACCCAAGGATTTCATAGCTTTGGAGATCATTGTTTCATAATGACTTGAGAAGGCAAGTTTGCAGTCATATATGACACCCAGGTCCTTGTGTTGTGTGACTCGTGTTAGAGATTCATCATTGATGACATAGTGGTACATAAGAGGATTATTTTTTCGTGAATACGTCATCACCTTACATTTGCTGACATTGAGCGATAGTTTAATTATTGAACACCAGTTTTTCAACAGATTCAGATCATTTTGTAAGGAAATGGCATCCGATAAGTCGTTAATCCTTCTGAAAATTTTCATGTCGTCAGCAAATATGAGGGATTTCGACTCAAAATTGGAGCATACATCATTCACGAATAACAAAAATAATAAGGGTCCCAAATTTGAGCCTTGAGGCACACCTGATGTAGCTATAAACTGTGAGGATTGAACTCCTTCGTATTCGACATAAAGTTTGCGGTCTTTCAGGTATGTCCTCAATACATTGATAAGGTTTTTGGAGAATCCAAAAGATACTAGTTTATCTAATAACCTGCTGTGTGATACACGGTCAAATGCTTTACTGAAATCAGTGTAAATAACATCAACTTGGCATCTTGAATCTAGAGCATTCGAAACAAATTCCGTAAATATACAGAGGTTTGTCGATGTACTGCGACCTTTCATGAAGCCATGTTGGTTTTCTGTAATGAGGTGACGAGTGTGTTCATACATCAAGTCCGCCAAAAGAATCTCGAATAATTTTGGAAGAGCAGAAACTAAAGCAATTGGCCTATAATTTGTTATTTCTGTTGGTTTTCCTGATTTAAAAATAGGACATATACGTGAGTATTTCCATATATCAGGAAATTTTCCACTTTTAATAATCAGGTTGAAAATGACGACTAAAGGATCCAATAATTTGTCAATAGATTTTTTCAATAGCTTGGGTGGAATATTGTCAGGTCCAGATGACCACTTGTTCTTGAGTTTTTTGCAAGCATTGAGAATTTGAACTCGCGTAATTATAGGAACGTGTAAGTAACTGCTGTTAATCTTGGAGTACTCATCATTCATCGAAACATCGCTATCGAGATCATATTCCTCCTCAAGGAAAACACTTTTAAAGTGGGTTGCAAAAGACTCAATAATCTGTTGAGGGTTAACGAGCGTTTTCCCTTCGTGATTCATTCTACCAGGAATACGAGATTTTTGCTGTTTAAGGTTGATAAAATTCCAAAATTTTTGAGGATTGTCTTTGATACTACTCTCAGAGTTATCGATGAAAGTTTGATACGCCACTGCAATTTCAGTTTTAATAGCTCTTCTCAAATTTTTAATACGAGCTAAGTAGAAGTTGATCTTATGTTTTCTATACATTTTCAAATGGTGATTTTTAGATTTTATGTTGTATATAATGCTTTGGTTAAACCATACAGGATATTTATATTTTCTCTTTTTCGATAATGGTACACAGCTCTTGATTATATTTCTCAATGTATTGCTGAAAAACTCGCAAGCAATATTAACATCCGAATAAGAGCCAATTATAGTCCAGTTGAATTCGGTCAGTAATTGATTGAATTTTTCCCAGTTGATTTTCCTAAAATCTAAACGATCAATATGAGAGGAAAAATTGTTTTTGACACAACGAATATCTTGGAATTCAATTACAATTGCTGGATGCTGAGGATCTAATGGTACTAGAGGGTCATTTTCACATGTTACTAAGCAATCTGCGGAAGATGGTGATAATACTATATCTAATATCCTATCATTACAATTCACTATTTTATTATTTTGTACAAGATCTGAGGAAGCTAGAAAGTACTTAAGACGAGCTACTATGTTTGTAACGGGACTGTCGATGTCATCATAATCTGGAATATTTCGGAAATCTTTGCATTGAAGCTAATTCCATTTTCCGTTTCGTGAATCTAGTGAAACTTCTTAGTAGTTTTTTTGTATAGAAATTCTCGTATCTAACTGTTTTTTGTGATTCAGATTAATCAGTCAAACTTAAGTAATCTGGATATTATCGTCTTTTCATTCTTTATTCTGCTCCAGAGTTGCCGTACAAAAATTTACGTATTTTGTAAAAGATCTGAAACTGATTTTTGCACACCAAAATAATGGAAATTCAGTGATTCATTGGAGAAATATTTCTTCCTACAACCACCTATGAAAGCAGCATATAGCACACTGTGTGTTGCTCAGAAATTATATCATATCACCATAGCAATAATAAAGTGAAAACGAACAATGTGGCAATATTCCCGCATGCTCACGTGATCTTTGTTTGGTCTATATAATGTATAATCATATTGTAATACTTACTGTCATTGTATATTTTACATTCATTTTCGGTTGAGTTTAAATTTTGCCCCATGAGACATAATAATTGTTTAGGTTTCGGTATCATTTGTCATTTTATGATAATCTGCGAGTCATATGATTTCCAAACCGTATTACTTTCAATTTTTATTCTTCGAAAAGAAATAATGATTTATTTCCTCAATAAGAAGTTGGAATAATATTAACATAGATAGAAGATATATGAAAAGTTATATTGAAAACAATTAAATGTTTGTATTTGTGTTTTTTGTTTCGAATGATATATTTATGGCAGTAGGAAAAATAGTGTACATAACTCGTTGGAAAGTGTATTTCACGCACTCGTTACATTTCCCCACTCGCCGCTACGTGGTAAATATCACTCGTGTTAAATATGTCACTTTCCACACTAGTTATGTAATACACTATTTTCATTTGTAAATCGACTCAAGAGATGTACCTTCAAATTAATTCAATTTAATTTCAGTTTGGCCGCTATTACTACACTGTATCTGATGGAGGTAGCTCGCCATTCGCAGTACATGCAGCCCAACATAGATAGACCTCATAATAATTATATTCCTAAAAGGCCTTCCAAAACCACAAAAGTCCATACCACTTGGACGCCTACCACCGCTCCGTACGAAACGACACATTTTTATAATAAAGAAGGTGAGCAAAATCATAAAGATTTTGAAAATCTACGTAAACACACTTATAGTAAACAACTCAGAATTTGACTCTTTTTCCACAACCTCTCTTTAATGAAGGAAATAATCGATTCACTTCTGTTTTTGGTTGCCGGATGTGATATTTTATCGACTTCTAGGATATCTAATATGATGGCAGATAATCAACAGAGCGAAACTTACACAGGATGTGAAATGGTACAGTCAGATGCGAAGAACATGTGCGGATTGATAACGTTATCGCTCTTATTGCAGAAGTGACTAGAGGTGCTATCACTGTCCATTTGTGACATGCTTATTGCATCTGTACATACAATAACACTTTTGTATAAAGAGAAGTGGACATAATTTGTATAGTTTTCGATGCTTTTGGGTGATATCTCAGTTATCTTTGGAGATAGAACCTTGCGGTTTTTACGACCTTGTGCCATTTTCATGTGAAACTCAAGATGGCCTAACCAGATTTTGCATAACTGTTTCCGTTAATGAGATAGAGGGCGATTTTGAAAATTTGTACCGTTTGAACCCCCTCTATATCTACGAAATTTCTCATCGAAAATATCAAATTAAAATCTCATCCCATAGAGAATTTTACGCAGAATCCAGTGGCGCACAAGTTTTTTCTTTCGTGGTATGGTTTTGGAGATACTACCCAAACTTATGATTCTTTCAATGGAACACCCTGTGTTTTATATGCTCATTAAACTCCTTATTTTTTCACTTCATAATGATATATGATGAATAAATATAAAATTTTCAAAAATGCTCCAAAATCACTGAAACATTGAATTCTAATAGTGGGCTATGGACTTTTCATATAAAACAGATCCAATTGAAGGAATATTTCTTTTGACTTTTCCATGAAGAGCACAAACACAATACCAACACTAATTAACTAACAAAACACAAAACTCATGTACCTGAGAGCAACAAATAAATAGTAATAAAAAGTACATAATGTAGAATACGCACCTGATTTTTGCTAAAACGATTGAATTTCGAAATCATTCAGTAACTTATTCATCGATTGGTTCAAATGAATGTCCATTTTCAACATCGTTAATGGATGTCTTTGTAATTCTTGGAAAATTGTCTCTGTTATTGCACGAAGTTTTCAAGATTATTGTGCCTCTACTGTATTATGTAAAAACTTCACAAACGAGAAGATTTCCACAAAATTCTCAAACACACGACATGTTTCGCTAACACAGTAGCTTCGTCAGGTGATATATCACCTGAGAATATTGTGGAAATCTAATGGTTTGTGAAGTTTTTACATTTACCATGGATTTCCATCAAGTAACGGCCCAGTCAATTCAAAATCTTACTGTATTAAGACGTATTGAGAAAGTGTGCCAATTGTGTGTTAGGGAAAATGGACATGAATTTGGACAATTCAATGAATAAGTTACTGAATGATTTCTAAATTCAATTGTTTTTGTAAATATTCAAACAGGTGCTTATTTTACATTTTGAACTTTTTATTAATATTTATTTGTTGCTATTAGGTACCTAAGTTTTGTGTTTTGTTAGTTAGTATTGGTATTGTTTTTATCCTCTTCATTGAAGAATCAAAAGTAATATTCCTTCAATTGGAAATTTTTCATAAAAAAAAACCATAGCCCATTATTAAAATTCAATGTTCTAGTGATTTAGGAGCATATATCGCCCTATAGAATAATTGCCCAACATTCAGTATATTATTGTCTGAAATGAATGAGTTAATAATTTCTGAAAAATACAGGTTGTTGATGAAGAGTCGAATTCGGAGTGGTGAAAACTGTAGTTGATTTTTGGTCAAGTCTAGGTCGAGAAATAATGGATAATTATCTCTCCCATCTGGAAATAATAAATTAAGTATGAAGAACTCTCATTGATTTTTCTTGAAAATAAACAGTTATCAAATAATATGTTATTTTTAGAAATCACGAAGGTAACTGTGGATCCAGAGCTAGTCAACAGGAGGCCGTCATTCATAATCGGACGACCTATAGATTGTCTAACTGTAGAGCAAGACCTGGAAAGTTCAAACTTATGTCAGGTGAGTACAGAAAAAAAATGAACTGAAAAAATTATCGCACAAAGTTGAAATCAATGCCAAATCTGTAGAGCAATGAAATCTCATTTCTTAGAGCGCTCTCGAATTCTTGTTATCACAGAATCAGTATTCAGCAAATAAGCAAGACCCGTTCAAAATTATAACAAAAATTGAACAATAGGACTAGGCAGAGAAGCACAAGATTTAATGATGCGGCTCGCGGTTCATAGCCCAGGCGTAGCCTTCTATGTAGTAGTGTAGCGGAAGCGGGAACACCCTGTGACGTCGAGTTGGTTTCTTATCAAGGATGTTCAAATAACATAAGGAATAGGAGTTGTCAAGGAATCAGTCAATAATTGTGACATTGGAATTTTTAAATAGTTGTCATTAAATCATTATCTCCCAATTGCAATTATAATTGTGTACTCTAAAATTGGTGACCCCGACGTGATCCTCAGAGAATATGGAGAACACAGATTGTATGAATGCATCAACTTCAAGCGAGAATTCAAATCCTTTCATATCCCAATCAGCAAGCCACTCTGTAAATGCATCTCGAATCGAGAAGTTCCCGCCGTTCTGGAAAGAGAATCCGGCTCTTTGGTTTATTCAAGTTGAAACTTCATTTGATCTAGCAGGAATTACAGGTGATCTCACACGATATCGTTACCTGGTGGCTCATCTTGATCAAACTCTATTACCATGTGTATGGTCAGGTTTTAGTTATTTAAGGTTTACTGTTAGTGTTTTTGTGTTTTTTTTGTGTCAGGCTAGTGATAAGCACTCACTTACATTTAAATACTGTTTAGATGGTGTCTGTAAGTTGTATCTATAAATAAAATAAATAAAATGATCTGATTCGATCCCCTCCAGAGTGTAACAGATATAGCACCCTCAAGAATCGAATTTTGGCGTACCTTGGAGCAACTGAAGAAGAACGTTTAGATCGATTACTACATTCTTCTGAAATACATGAAGATCGTCCTACTGATTTGCTCATCCGTTTACGTGGTATCTCTGGTGGTCAATGTTCAGAGAACATTCTACGATCAATTTTTTTGAAGAGGCTGCCCATCCATATACGTTCAGTGCTTGCTGGACACGATGATTCAGATTTGGTTTCATTAGCAAATCGAGCTGACAAGATTTGGCGAAATAGTCATGACCAAATTGCTGCATTTGGACATACTCAGAGTCAATCAGCAGATAATACAGTCTCTATGAATAAAGAAGAGCGTGCAGGTGACCTATTACCTTTTTCTGACGCGCAGATCGACGCTTTAGCACAACGCATCAGACAAATGTCAAAAAATTTCTCTAGAAGGCCAAAAAGAAATGATAGATTTTGTTACTATCATCGGAAATTTGGAAGGGCAGCAAGGAATTGTGAGCAACCTTGCAGTTTTGTTGTCAGTCATCGTCAGCAGAAGGGAAACGCCGACGGCAGTCGTTAAGGGCGGTGAACGACAATTGCCAAAGAACCAACCGCCTTCATGTTGTGGATCAAACATCTGCACTTCACTATTTGGTGGATACTGGGGCAGAGATTTCCGTGTTGCCTCGTTCAGCCTGTTTGGGTCCATTCAAAGCAACCGACTACTGTTTGTATGCTGCCAACGGAACTCCTATCAAAACCTATGGGACACGAGCGGTAGAAGTGAACCTAGGTTTAGGGCGGAAATATCTCTGGCAATTCTGCATCGCTGATGTAGAAAGACCTATGTTGGGTGCAGATTTTTTCAAATATTACGGGTTACTGGTTGACCTCAGAAATCGTCGTGTAGTAGACACCTCCACTAGATATTCTGCTCACGGACAGTTACAACCAGTTACTTCAAGAGTATCAACCGTTACTTGCCAGGGAAGGTTCCACCGTCTCTTAGCGAAGTTTCCAGAGCTCACAGCTCCTCGCCAAAACTCGATGCGAGCTAGACATTCGGTGAAGCACCACATCGTAACAACAGGGCCGCCTGTAGTTGAAAGGCCACGAAGACTCGCACCAGATAAGTTGAAAGTTGCTAAGGCAGAGTTCGACTTGATGATCATGCTTGGCATTTGCAGACCGTCAAAAAGCAAGTTTGCCAGTCCTCTTCACCTTGTACCCAAGAAGACCGGAGATTGGAGGCCTTGCGGCGACTATCGTAGACTAAACGCTGCTACCGTTCCAGATAGATATCCGATAGCGCATATTCATGACATCACGAGTAGTTTTGCTGGAAAAACAATATTTTCTACTATCGATTTGGTGAGAGCATATCATCAAATACCAGTAGCAGACGAGGACATAGAGAAAACAGCAATCACAACACCTTTTGGTTTGTTTGAATTTCCAGTGATGACGTTTGGTCTCCGAAACGCAGCGCAGACATTCCAGCGATTCATGGACGAGGTTATCAGAGGCTTGAATTTTGTGAATTGCTATATCGATGACCTTATCATCGCTTCGAAGGATGAAGAGGAACATTTTCAACACCTACAGATAGTTTTTCAGCGCTTACAAAGTTATGGCCTATCTATAAATGTCGCCAAGTGCCATTTGGGGAAGTCAGAAGTCGACTACTTGGGTCATCGTATCAGTGCTAATCGTATCAAACCTTTGCCGGGTAAAGTTAAAGCAATTATCGATTTCAAAAAACCTGAGACTGTATCGGAACTAAGGCGTTTTCTAGGCATGATAAATTTTTATCGCCGCTTCATCAAGAATGCTTCGCGAATTCAAGCACCTCTTCATGAATATATGAATGGTGCAAAAAAGTCGGACAAACGACCTATTGTTTGGAATTCATTAGCTGAGCAAGCTTTTGAAAAGTGTAAGCAAGTTTTAGCAGAAACGACATTACTGGCTCACCCATTAGAAAATGCAGAGTTGATACTTTATACGGATGCATCTGATATGGCTATCGGCGCAGTTTTGGAACAGCATGATTCTGGCAACAAACAGCCACTTGGTTTCTACTCAAGGAAATTGCATGGGGCCGAACTTCGCTACAGTGCCTATGACAGAGAGCTGCTTGCGATCTACGAGAGTATCAAGCATTTCAAGCACATGTTGGAAGCTCGAGATTTCGAAATCCGGACCGACCACAAACCCCTCGTATACGCTTTTTCACAAAGAGCCAACAAAGCATCACCTAGGCAAAGTAGGCAACTGGATTATATTTCCCAGTTTAGCACAAATATACAACATATTGCTGGAACATGTAACATTGTCGCTGATACATTATCACGAATAGAAACCATTAACATACCAAGTATAACGAATTCAGAAGAGTTGGCCAGGGAACAAGAAAAAGATGAGGAGTTGCAAGCACTTTTGGAATCGGATTCGGCTTTGAAGTTGCAGAAAGTTCGTCTCGAGAGTTCTCCACATACCATCTATTGTGATTCATCTGCAGGTTCAGCTCGTCCGTATATTCCAATACTTCTGCGTCAACGAATTTTCGACATGATACATGGTTTGTCCCATCCAAGCAAACGGGTGACAAGCGAGTTAGTTAGACAAAGGTTTGTGTGGCCGAATATGAAGAAAGACATCAGTAATTGGGTGAGAGCTTGTCTTTCTTGTCAGCTCAGTAAGGTCACTAGGCACGTGAAGAAATCGGATATGCACATTCCAGTACCTAGTGAACGATTTCAGCATGTCCATTTGGACATTGTTGGCCCCTTGCCTCCATCGAAAGGATTTTCTTACTTACTGACGATGATTGATCGATTCACACGTTGGCCTGAAGCCATTCCCTTGAAGGACATCACGGCAGATACAGTGGCTTCAGTATTTTATAAGTCCTAGGTTTGTCGATTTGGTTGCCCGCAGACGGTCATCACCGATCAAGGTAGCCAGTTCGAAGCTCGACTGTTTGCGGCATTAACAAATTTAGTAGGGTGTACCAGAGCACGGGCTGCAGCTTACCATCCTCAAACAAATGGTATTGTGGAACGTTTTCATCGTTCTTTGAAGTCAGCTCTACGGTGTCACGCAAGCGAGGAATGGATCGACTTTCTGGACACGGTGCTGCTTGGTTTGAGATCGGCGATAAAAGAAGATCTCCAGTGTTCAACAGCAGAACTTGTATATGGCACGACAATCAAAGTTCCAGGGGAATTTGTGTTTGCTGATTTGGATCGTCCGGAAGCTCACATTTTTGTGGAAAAATTCAGGAAGTGCATGCAACGGTTGAGACCGACTCGATCGGCCCACCATAGGAAATTGAGCACTTTTGTATATAAAGACCTTCATTCATGTTCGCATGTGTTTATGCGAGTAGACTCTACACGTAAGCCATTAGAGCACCCTTATGAAGGGCCTTTCAAAGTAGTCACCAGACTCTCTGACAGAGTTTTCACCATACGTGTGAAAGATAAGAATGTCAATGTTTCTATTGAAAGACTGAAACCAGCATACTCCCTCAATGAGGAATGCTTAGAAGAGCAGGTTGATCAGACTCGAGTTTCAGAACAAAATTTGCCGAGATCTTCGCTACGTACCTACAGCAGAAACCCAGCGAAATATGGATCTGATAGACAGTCTGAAGATATTCCTCCTAGCACAACCACAGGCACGACGAGAGTGGATATTCATCCTGTTTGTTTCGCGTCCTCACTTGGCAGTCCGCTGGAGGGGAGTATTGTAGCGGAAGCGGGAACACCCTGTGACGTCGAGTTGGTTTCTTATCGAGGATGTTCAAATAACATAAGGAATAGGAGTTGTCAAGGAATCAGTCAATAATTGTGACATTGGAATTTTTAAATAGTTGTCATTAAATCATTATCTCCCAATTGCAATTATAATTGTGTACTCTAAAGTAGTAGTCTCAAATGTAATATTTAGATAATTTTTCCTCATTATGATTCCTTTCACTGGACTACTTATGTGTGAAACATCGATCTGTTTCTACTCTTCACTCATAATTTTCGTTTCTCAGTTGACAAACTACCGATGTAGGTGTGATTTTTAGAGAGATGGCAACATTATCAATGAAGGAAATTAAAGGAAAATAAGCAGTTCCTACCTTTCTATTCTCAGCTCTCATGCCATTATTTCAACAATTACGTTTCATTAAATCACTGATAAGTTTTTAGTTCTTACTCAAATTCAAAAAGCATCAATTTTTTCATTGTATAAACGAATTTTTGTTCGTTAAGCATCAAATGAATGTCTAGGGTTTTTTGAAGGCTTTATTCAAATAGTTCACAATCTGATCTTAATCATTGCAATATAGTACATAACTGTTATCGGTGCTATTTGAGAAATAGTTCCAAATCAGCACGTGATGCTGGTCTCGGAACTTTTTGAACCTACGCACATTTCATTGTTTTATTTGCTATTATCCTGATCTGTTCTTCATTCTGTGATGTTATTGTTCTCTCTGACAATTCAGTTTTAAATATTTTTATGTTATCCGCTTCCCTCAAAACCACTGGTAGACAATTGAAAGTTTTGATACATTTATTGAGAGGGTTATTTAAAGTGTTGGTTCTTTTGGGCTGGATATATATATTTCCGAGTATATTTCTTTGGTTCCTTGTCTCATTGAAATGGCCTTCATGGTTTAATTTAATTCGTAAATTACACTTATATTCATTATTTTTTTGTGTATGAATTCATTTTGTTCAATTTTTATTATGTCTGAGATTGGTAAAATACCAGTTTGTTCTGTTGGTGTTCTGAACATTGAATAAAACATTAACAATTTTATTTAGTAGTTCTTATACTTTCTCGAATAGTGTAAGTCCACAAGCACCCCATATGGGAATCAACTAGGTTACAAAAAAATTGTAATTAAATTTTGTCGCCTTTTGAATTATTCACAATCTGTTCAGTGTTTTCCTATTTTTCCAAAAAATGAAAAATCAAATTTTCAAATTTTCAAATTTTAAAAGTTTTCACAAGGTTGGTAGAACTGATTATAATTTGTATAGGAAGGTTGCCTCGATCGATAGTGCGGCAAGGGGGGAAACGGTCACTCGTGACGTCACGGGCAGTAAGACGACAAGTTGTCAACCTTAAAGCGACATGTCATGAAATGTTTACCAAATAGAGTATACAAACATGATACAAACTTTTTGGTCTGCTCAGCATATTTATATTAATTTATAGTATATAATTATGAGTAAGTACCATTATAGAATATGGATATTTACATATACTTCTGTATAATACCTTCAATTTTCGAAATGAGAAGGCAATTTTGGATGGATCAGTAGTACAGAGAGGAATACCTATCTGAAATTTTGTTCCAGTGGCTATTTACCAGGTCGTGGTACTTGCAGGTATGTGTGTTTTCGAGGTATGGAGCATAATTATGGAGCTAGTGATTACTTATGCATTGATTATGAACCTACTCATCCTATAAATATTCTGCAAATCAGATAATGTGAACAAGAAACTACAGAAAATATAAGAATAATCAACTGATGATCCAGAAGTAGTAGCAGTGGACCAATATTCGTACACAACAGCTCACTTATTTTATCAATATAACTCTGTATTCTGAAAAATTAACAAACTTTTCTAGATACCTATAGAAAATACAAGAGGAAATAGTATTTCATTGTTTGATTATATTGTAGTCAAAAACAGAGCAATTGATCGAAGTATTTGAGCATAAAAAAATAACAAAATATGATTCTGAACAAAGTTAATGAAAAATAACACTACTATTATAAGTGAACCTATAATAAAGGATTGTTCAAGGAATCTCTCAAATAAACATAGCTCCTCTTCGTTGGGTAACGTACTCTTGCTCAAATATCTCAACTTGAAAACACGTGTGATATCTTCTGATGTCCATTCTACCCGTTCAGCAAGAATCTCAACATTCACAACTGGTCTGGTTCTGATTATTTTTCCAAACTTCCATATTTATGGTGTTTCTCTTGTTGTATTTGGTATTATTGATGGGATTCCTACCTTGAGTTTTCTTCTCTTTGGTGTGTGATTTAGCAATTCTGCTTGTGCCGTTCAAAATCCTCGGCATCGAAATGGGCAGAACATATTCGCCAAGTTTTGGTATTAAATGAATTAAAATTACGTCCACAAAAATGAATCCATTTCTCACGAATAGACTCATTTATGGAAAATAAATGGAAACACAAACTAAATTCACTAGTCCCATTACACTTGTAGGAATTTTAACGAGAAGTGACCGAACAAATTATCATTTTTACATTTTTAAGTTCAAAATGGTTCAAATATTCGAAAATACTGACAACTGTCAACTCAATACATGCGCCGGCCAATCGCCGGCGTACATATCATACACGAAGTGTACGAGAGTGCTACACTTTTCGTGCAAAAGAAAGGACCTATTACGTCATGAGTTACTCAAGGTTACTCGCGGGGTGCGATCGAGGCAACCTTCCTCTACAAAATAGTCATTAGTTCTACCAACCTTGAGTTTTCAGACACAGCACGCCATCTATCTGCTGTCGCACAACTCAATTACCTTAAGCTTGTTACTTGCCATAACAGGTTTCTTTGAGTAATCACATCACAGTTTTCTGTCTTGTTTTGGTTCTTCAACAGGTTCTACATTGACAGCGCTTTGGTTTCCATTGTTTCTAATCGCGAGATTCACGAAGTGGGCGACATCTAGGTTACATAATACGAACTTCGAACTGGGGGAGAAGAAACTGTTGTCTATGGATAAAGTGCATAGACTACATTGAATTCAGCTTGCTGTAGCTGTAGTCAAACTTGTCAATGACATGAAGTGTTGACACTGTTGGTAGTGATGATGGTTGAGTTGGGTAATTTTTTTTACATTATTACATTCTTATTTGTTTAGTGAACAGTGAACGGGTGTAGAATTGGAGATAGTTCAAACAATTCAAACTAATTTTGACCAGCAAATCACTTGACAGCTACAACATGTTTACAATACCCAGATTGTCCTGCTTTGCAAGAACAAATACAAATCCATTGTTCTACAGGAGTTCCTCTGGACCCCAACTAAAATTTAACTTTATGTGGGGAAGATTGCATCGCCGAAGTTTGTAGACAAAGTGCAAAAAGGTGCCTTTTGTTGAAGTGTTCTACCGCACACAAAATCACATGATCAGCACTGAGAACTGCTTCTCCTTCCACTACTGGTCGGCTTTTTCCATCTAAATAGAGCAAAATATCTGCCAAAAGAACATCTACAACAGGCATTATTAGCGTTCTCCATCGAATATTGACAATTAATGTCAAGAAATTTAAAAACTAATGGCACTAATGGGATTGAGTGAGAGTTGAGTTTGTTTTTCCCTAGTTTTGACGTGGCTTCGACTTGGAACGATGAAAACCAAGCGCCATTGAGTCCCGCGAATAATGATCAAGACACGCAGATCTCCTTCGGCTACCTATGGCGAAGTTAATGTTCTCTTTGAGGGATTGGCTTTTTGCCTCCCTTTCAAAATTACCCAATTCAAATAACATTTTTCAAATAAATTAATTATGTATTAAGATGCATATTTTTTCGCCTTCACGATGTTTTAAAAATTTTCCACGTGAGTACAACCTTCTTACCTTTGGTTCGTTTTTTTTTATAGAAATTTGTGCTTTAAAAACTATTTGGCTTTTTCACATTTCACTCATCAATTACTAATCAATTGATATTGTTATACTTTATAATAATCACCATTGTTCTTTTATACTACTGAAATTGTTAACTAATTCAATGTTACATTTACAACTTTGTGAATTATCTTTTTCAATTTCTTCATCATGATATAAAATCATGCTTGTAAATTCACTTTGATGTACTAATTTGACTGAAGATGGCCATTTGAATGGCCGAAACATGTCTTAAACCTTATTGAAGTAGGATTGACTGCATCTTATCAACATTAAACCTGTGGAGACGACTTCGAGTTTTCTTTCTTTCGACAGTAGTCGGATATTTTTCATGGGCTCGGGATATAACCCACGGTGGTCGAGAGCGCGAAGGCGCTGAGTTCGTATGGGGACTCTCAACGAGGCATGGGTTCGAATCCCAGTTAGGCTATGGATGTTTGTAAATGTATGCTTTTCTAACCCCGCACAAGTTTCGACTAATGGGGCGTTGGATCCAGTGCTGGGTCCAACGAGGAAATGCAATTGAAAATAATAAATAATAATAATTATACCTCTTCCACTGTCCTTTCTTTTCCAGATTTTCTGTTGCGCCAACCCCCCACCGCGACCGGCGCACGAGCCCACCGCGCACTTCTCCGAAAAGCGGCCGCCCTTCAACAGAACCAAAGCGGGCGGGCCTTTGCTCAACGTTGAGAAGAACAAGATCGCTAAGCCTTTCCACTCCAACGACATCGACAAGCAGGCCAGGCAGCGGAGGGACACCTACACGGACGAGGCTAATATGTTCGATATCGTCGGTGAGTGCCACTGATTAACCTCCAAAAGTTGAAAAAAAATCTAATACCTTCCTTCGCTCCCTATCCCACTAATCCTACGCCTAATGTTCCTCGAACATTATAGGGATTCTCATTCGGGCGCTTCAAGAGAGTGAAATATATTAAAAATTGAATCCTATTGCTGGTATTATATATAAAATTCGAAATTTCATTCCTGTTAAATACCTAAAGAGTATTTATTTCTGTATTTTTTATTCAAATATACAATATCTAATATCTATTTGGGAAAGTACAAATATTTCACGTTGGAAGCCACTCATGAAATTACAAAATAAAACAATGAAGTGCATTTTCAATTTACCTCTTTTAGAATCAACTGTAAATCTATACAAACCTGAAGACTTGCTGAATCTAGTTTCATTATATAAACTCAAAATTTGTTGTTTTATTCATTTTGTCAGGAAGGAATTGAAAATATCGAATTTGAATTTTAATGAAGTTAATACGATTCACGCCCATGAAACAAGACAATTCAATTTATTGATAGCAAATAATTATTATAAGTCAAATTTTGGTAAACAATCAATATTCCATAATGGAATAATTTTATATAACTCCTTACCTAATGAGTTGAAAAATATAGAAGAAGCAGAAAAATTTTAAATCAAATTAAAGAAATATCTGCTCAGTAAACTTTGTTTTTTCATTTTATATTTTATTATAATTTTTTTTTAGGAAAAACAATAATTGTGCAATTATTATTGTTTCGATTTATTATGTTTTATATGCATGTTTTGTTGTATATATCCCTATTATAAACAATAATGTTTCTTGGGGTAATAAAGACAAAGACAATCAAATAACGATAGGAAAATTGCAAGAGTACAACCTAAAAAAGGCAAAAATACCCTACCTAGCAACTACAGACCGATCGCACTGCTATCTATTATTTCAAAGATAATGGAGAAAGCTATCAACATCGAGCTCATGAAATACCGGAAACATTCAGGTATTATCAACGATAGGCAATATGGCTTCCGTCATCAGAGATCAACTGGTGACCTGCTCGCTTACGTCTCACATATATGGCAGCAATCTATTGAAAAATATATATTCGATCGAGTCTGGCACCAAGGACTCGGCGCAAAGCTTCCATCTTATGGCTTGCCTCCTCAGCTATGTTCTCTGCTAGCTAGTTTTCTCTCAAACAGGTCTCTCCATGTAGTGGTCGACGGAGTTTCATCTAGCACCAACACTATTTCTACTCCATATCAACGATTTGTTGGAAGCAACTTCATGACCAGTACACAGCTTCGCGGATTATAGTACCCTCCATACCGCCTTCTCTTCCAGGGCTCCAATACCAGCCAGGCAAATCAGAAACGATCGAGGGAGAAATGTTGACAACATAAATATGGACTTGGCAACAATTCTCGAATGGGGATCCAATAACTTGGTAGATTTCAATGCAAATAAAACACAAGCATGCCTTTTCTCTAGAAAAGCCGATCTCACTGTGCCCAACATATGCTTATCAGGAGTAACCATACCTTTGAAGACATCCACTTTGATGATTGGTATTACTATCAGCAAAAACCTTTCTTGGGAAAATCACGTGATATCAATTGCTGAAACTGCATCCCAAAAACTTGGTTTTCTGTTTCGGGCCAGGAGTTATTTCACTTCCAGTCAGCTGCTTATGATCTATAATAAGGCACAGGTCCGACCTGTCCTGGAATACTGTTCCCATATTTGGAGTGCTGCACCCAAGCATACCCTGAAACTGTTGGATTCTGTCCAAAAAAGGGCAATTCGTCTTGTGGGTGATGCCTCGCCCACAAACTCACTCCTCTGGAATACCGTAGAAAAGTTGGCGATCTGGCTCTATTTTATAGATATTTTCATGCGACCGCGATTCATTCATGAAACGCCAAACACGAATAATAGAATGAAATCGCTAATTATGGGGATAATAACACTATGGAATCATTGCCAGAAAAATTGAGACATCAGAATTCATTCATAGATCATCAAAAGGTATACGCCAATAATCATAAACACCAAACATGGCTGAATTAATGAAATCGCGAATGGTGGAGATACATTTGCTGAATCATTGCCAGAGAATTGATATATTAAATAGATACATTCGATATATCTAACGACATCGACAAGCAGGCCAGACAGCGGAGGGACACCTACACGGGCGAGACTAACCTCCAAAAGTTCAAATTTCAAAATCTACCTTCTCTCCCTATCCTCCCTAGGTACGCGCCAACTATCTTAAACGCCAAACCACAGAACTCAAAGACCTAGAATGCCATTATCGTTTTATTCGAGTGTTCCCTGACGTGACTCGAACGGCAAATGTGGTTTTTGTGGCTTTCTTGAAAATGCAAAACATTGTGAAAAATTCATATGATATTTGTTATGATGGGTTCCTATATGTTATTAGGAGTAATGTTTTGATGTATTTTCCATCAACCAAAGTTTTCGTAGGACAAAAATGGGCGAGATAATATACAGGGTAATCCACCATGATTTATCAAAAAATAAGTCGGTATGCATATTATGATAATTTTTGCAAAAGCTCTTTCAAAGAGATACATTGCTGTGAAGTCCAGTTTCAAAAATCGTTTTCTTGCTATAATTCTTAGAACATAAAACAAAATTTGGTGCAAATACTTATGAGTGGAGTAGATATAGGGGAGTTGTTTCACTTTTGCCGCCCTATTTATTAAACCACTGAAAAGTTTTTAGAATTGAGATATTTTGCCTTTCCTGTTCAATTTCGATTTGGGGCTTCGTTTACGAGTTAATTGAATTTAAAAAAAAGAGACCCCGCGAAATTTGGATAGTTTAGTTCGGAAAAAAACAGAACTCAACTTCTCAACAACGGCATCTCGAAACAAGGCAATCATCCAAGCAATGATGAAATTCCGCGTGATATTAAAAAAGTCGAAATATTTTATTGCTACAAAACAAAAATGAAAAACTGGATATTAGCTCGGATATAAGTCTCTTCAAGAAGTTTATTTGCTCATCTGGTTAATATTCAATATCTATATATACGAAATTTGAAACAGAAATCTGACATTTCATAGAAGATGAGATTTTGTGAGATAATAACACAATGAAAGTCATTGTGATATCAGATACGGAAATAACATTGATGGCATACAAAGTACCACATTGATTTATCGAACACAGTAAAACAAGAGCCATTTTTCGTTATAGCTATAGAAAAAATATATAATAGCACAAGGCTTGTTGACGATATAAATTTACCTAAAGTAAGACATTCCTGAAATTTTTATTTGTTTTGACAATAAATCATTCATTTTGAAAACACTGTACACAAAGCAGTCAATGAATGTCGAATCAAATAAGTACTGTACAAAACACTGAAAAACTGAAACTATTCCGGCTCAGTCTTAAGTCTACGTCAGACAAAATGACAGAGGTACATTCTTACACAGTTGCCTGATGAACTCGTAAGAAATTAGAAGTTCATAATAATTCATCGATCTCTTGTTAGCCATTCAATTAATATCAGTGAGTCTATGAATTTTGTCGCGGAAATTTTATATATGATTCTTGTGATGCTGTTGATCATCAGTTGAAAGAAGTTTCAGAAGAAATATGAACTACATCCCAATGCATAAATATGAGATTTGCGTATAGAAATACAGGGTGTCCGGAGATAAAACCGACAAAACTCATGGGGTTATAGGGACTGTCGATATGATTGCAAAATGTCATAAACGAATGTCCAAAACCGCTTCGTTACTGAGATACAGAGTGATTTGTGGATTTTGACAAAAAATTCAATCCGCCATATCAAATACAGGGATTAACCGATTAGATTCAAATTTGGTACACGAATTACACTGAAAAGCATCAACAAGTAGCCCTTTGATCGAAACCAATATCAGGACCGGAATAATATTTTCCCCCTATGTTGTGTTATTGTAAGAATAACTCACCCTGTATAATAATAACCAAGAATTTCAACTCAAATTCGAAATCTACGGTGAAAATTGTATAGGAATTTGTTGGAAAATCTCCTGGCACTATCTTAGTTATTCCGTAATTAATTATTATTTCAATTTTTTTCATTAAAAAATCAATTATTTTCGGATAAAGTACACCAAAATTGGTAATATAATGAATATTTACGAAACCATGACATGAATGTCGTTATTTTCTTCAATCAGTTCATAAATCGGGGTAAAATGAAATATTCTCATAACCCGAAAAAACTTTAGAATAAATTCGTATCAGGACTGGAATGAGTTTTTTGTTTGTTTATGTTAGCTGACCTAGTACATCAATAGTTATCAATAATCTGATCGTAGATTCGGAATCTAAAAAAATCGTATAAGAACCTGTTGAAAAAGGATAAGAGTGAAGTTTTCGTAAATTATATTCGCTCACTAATGAATTTGAATTCATGAAAATACTACACAAAGAACAGTAACTGTTTGTAATAAACATAACCAAACCAATGAATTCGTAAAAAACTTTCACTACCCAGTATTACAAAACATTTTCGAAGTGGAGCCCTCCAGCATCAATACATTTTTGAGAGCGTGCTATAAGATGAATTATTACGAATTATTTGAGGGCTATTTCCAACACTAACACAGGTAGCAGTAATTCTCCATAATACATTTCCTCTCATTCAAATTACTTCATTATGAACTTCGTACTTTAAATGACCTCATAAAAAATAATCTAGCTGAGTTAGATCAGGGGATAGCGGTGGCCAATTTACTGAACCTCCACGGCCAATCCATCTATTGGGGTAATTGTCATCAAGATGGTTTCTAACTGGAACTGAAAAGTGAGGTCTGGCACCATCATGCTGAAACCACATACCCCAGGTATTTACACCTTGCAATAGAAATTTAGGTAAACATCACCAGTTAAAGCCCATACAAAAATAGAATATCTGCGTATTCCTCATTAGTGAGATGAAACGGCATCATAAACACACTCTCAGAACTATAGTTTGATCCAAAAAACACTGAAATAATGAATGAACACCAATAAAACAAACGATGATGACAGGTTAGGTTAGTTACTGATACGGATTTATTATTTGAAAGTTCAGTCCGATCATTTTTCAACAAGTTTTTAACTTTTCTCAGTGCATTTCGGATCTGCGATCAGATGATTGTTATACTAGATCATCAATTCTTACAGGAATATAATCATAGAAAACCTCATTTCAGTCCTGATACGAATTTATTTTTCAGTTTTTTCGGGTCATGAGAGTAATTTATTTTACTACGATTCACGAACTGATTAAAGACAATAACTATATTATTGTCATGGTTTCGTTAATATTTATTTTATCACCAATTTTGATGGTACTTTTTCCGACAATAGTTGATTTTTTAATGAAAAAAATTAAAATGATGATTAATTACGATATAACTAAGATAGTGCCAGGAGATTTTTCAACAAATTCCTATACAATTTTCACCGTAGATTTCGAATCTGAGTTGAAATTTTTGGTTATCATTATACAGGGTGAGTTATTCTTACAATAACTCAACATGGGGAAAAAATATTCCGGCCCTGATATTGGTTTCGATCCAAGGGCTACTTGTTGATGCTTTTCAGTGTAATTCGTGTACCAAATTTGAATCTAATCGGTTAATCCCTGTATTTGATATGGCGGATTGAATTTTTTGTCGAAATCCACAAATCACTCTGTATGTCAATAACGAAGCGGTTTCGGACATTGGTTTATGGCATTTTGCAATCAAATTGACAGTCCCTATAACCCCATAAGTCTTGTCGGTTTTATCTCCGGACACCCTGTATATCTCACAATGTTGTTGACAATGTGCGCATGATCACCATTGCCGTAAGCACACTTGCATTAGCCTTCTAGGTCTTTGAGTTCTATGCGCCAAACACGTATAAATGAATATGGAATCGCGAATGGTGGGGATAATAAAAGACTAAATTACAATAAATAGACACCGCGATTCGTTATAAATCAATGACAAGTATAGATTCGCCAACAATCCTAAACGCCAAACACGATTGAATGAATGAAATCGCGAATGGTGGGAACAACTCTGCAAAATCATTGCTAGACAAATGATATGTTCCATTGATGTATCTTGTACAGGGTCATTCATTAGGAGTTGTCGATCTCTGAACTACAGATAGTTAACACTAAAATATGCAGAGTGATACGAATGTTGCTGGTTTAGGAGATACAGGGTGTTCAAGTTGAAGATTTTTTTTTGAAATTTCTCAATATCATATTTTGTAGTTTCAGGTTTCCTGACATAAGAGATACGTAACTAAGCTTATTCAATTTTACATAAAAATTGTACTCTCTTTCAAATTGTCTAACTACAACGGTTTGTGGGTTATCCGCTCTTGGAGGGATATGTGTCTCACTTATAATATTTTCATTATTTTGAATTATAGAGTTTGCGAAGTAACAGTAGAAAAAGGGCATTAATCAATACTTAATGATAATCACTAACAACGCCAACAAACAATGCCAACAACTAACAGAATTTCAAAGTGAATGTTTGACCAAAGTTATGGTGAAATTTAAAATATATGTTTTCCTTGGAAACCGTGCTTCATTTGTATAAGGCATGTTGGGCTGAATTTTGGTTTTTACTATCTGTAGTTCAGAGATTGACCATTCTCAATAAACCTGGATTTCTATAAATGTGTGTATGTGCGTTAATAAATTAACTCTCGCGTGTGATTATGTCATTTTTTCTTGCAAAATTAGACCCTTGGAAAATAACAATTTTATCACAACGCAAAATCACAAAACATTACAATTCAAGTGAAATCTAAAATTAAACTTTCTCATAAGGAATATATACGTAATATTGAGAATAATATAAAGCATGATAATAACATTTTTTGGAATTTTGTAAATAGTAAGAAACAATCAAACTCTAATGCAGATAATTCATTCCTGATAGGTAACTCAGAAGTCTCAGATAAAAAAATTATATCCGAAAAGTTTGGTGAATATTTCAACTCCGTGTTCGACTCCATGAATTCGAATTATGATGTTGAGGTAATTAAAAGTAAAATGGGTGATAGAATGGGTCAACCTTGCTTTCATTATACCAAAGTATCAGTCGCAGACATCGAAGCAGCCATGAAAAAACTGAAGCCAAAAAAGTCCGCAGGACCTGATGGAATTCCATGTTACATTTTTAAAGCATGTAGCGACACGCTTATATATCCATTATTGGTAATATTTCAGAAATCTTTGAGATCAGGCATTTTTCCATCCAAATTCAAGGAGTCTAAAATAAGTCCTATACATAAGAGAGGCAGTAGGAAATTAGTAGAAAATTATAGACCTGTTGCCATTTTGAATTGTATCGCAAAACTCTTTGAATTTATCTTACATGATAAAATGTTTTCCCATGTCAAAAACCTAGTATGCCAGGAACAACATGGTTTTTTCAAACAAAGATCCATATCAACGAATTTAGTTACATTTGTTGATAAGGTTTCTAGTGAGTTGCTTGGACGAGGATCTCAGGTGGACGTTGTGTACACCGACTTTGCCAAAGCCTTTGACAGAGTGAATCACGATATACTTCTGTCAAAATTACACTCATTTGGACTTAGTGATCATATGTTAACATTCTTTGCCTCTTATTTGATGAACAGGCTTCAGTTCGTGAAGTATTCCGGAGAAAAATCCAAACTATTCCTTGCAAAGTCTGGCGTACCACAAGGGTCCAACCTGGGACCTCTACTCTTTTCGATATTTATTAATGATATTGCTAAAAATATAAATTCAGACTGCCTCCTCTATGCCGATGATCTCAAAATATTCAGAGCTATAAAAAATATTGATGATCACCTTGCACTAAGAAACGATATTGATGTTATTTATAACTGGTCCATAGATAACAAACTGCCCTTCAACATTGAGAAGTGTCGAGTGATGACATTCACAAAATCCAAAAGCCCAATGCTTCTTGACTATTCGATGAACAATACCATAATCGAAAGGTGTGTGGAAATTAAAGATTTAGGGATTTGGTTCACTCCTGATTTGACTTTCAAAAAACATATAACAGAAATGATTACGAAATCATACAAAATGTTAGGATTCATCAAGAGAACAACATATGAATTTAATAATATTGATGTGGTAATGCACCTATATAATTCGTTCGTGAGAAGTCGTTTGGAGTTCGGCTCCTCAATATGGAATCCATCTCATACTAATTTGAAACAAAACATCGAGACTGTTCAGAATAAGTTTCTGAAATATTTATATTACAAAAGACACAAGCAGAGTCCCGGCTTTCGAAGTTTTCAGTTCATTCGAACAGAGTTTTCTATTGTGAAACTGGAATATAGAAGGGAGGAACATAATTTGATAACCTTATATAAAATAATAAATAACAAAATATGCTCTCCATATTTGCTGTCAGCTATCAACTTTCATATTCCTCCCCCTCGGCTTAGACCGAGAAAGGTTACATTCCATGTAGATGCTCGACCGTCAATAGTAAACAGATTATGTATTCTTTTCAATTTGTACAATGTAAGAGAATCTGATAATTTAGATATATTTTCAAAAACAGAATCAGACTTCAGGAGACAGATACGATCGATTGCCGTTTCTAATTAGATTAGTAGATTATTGATATAAGAATATCTTACACTACAGGGTATTGAGTCTGTTTTTTTTTTCTTTTTGTTTTTATCTCGTTACTATAATTTCATTTCTTTTTCTTATGTACATGAAATCAGTAATTATTCTCTATATGACATAGTATTTCCCATATATATATATCCCATATGTATATATATCTGTATTATGTGATACATGGATATCTGAATGTATTCAGTATATAGGTATATATTCCTCGCATTTCGTCTATATCTATACACGAATGATATAAAATATTGCTTTTCTACCAAACTCGGGAACGTGATGCTCAATTAACTCAATTCAAATTATTATTTTTTTTTTTTTTTTTTGTTTCAAATTGAAGGAACTTCAAAATGATGCTACTTTGCATGCTTGGACATCAGTGTAGTGTCTTTGATGGTATGGCAGAGTCGCCAATTTATTATAGACGTTTAATTGGGATAGCAATTATATATTTAACTTCTGGGTATCTCTATTTCATTATTATTATTATTGTTATTATTATTAATATTATCAATATTTTTCACAATTTTTTGTTCTTCAACATGTATTGAAAACACAAATGATACAGCTTTGTCATTGTTATTCAAAAACATGGGATTGGGATAGGTACGTATATTTTCATTTGTAATGTTAACATAATATAGGCTAGTTATGAAAGGAACATGTAATTAGGTATCACTACCTGTTTGTTTCTAATAAATAAATAAATAAATAAATAAATAAATAAATAGCTGTTGAAGACCATTGTGTATTCTGCCAATGAACCGAATCTCATTTTCAGCATAAAGGGAGACCCAGAAGTAACTTCCTTCCGGGGCTCATGAAAATGACTAATAATCAGTTTATCTAAACAGAACACCTTGTATATTATCACTTATTTGGAAAGCTGTGACATTTTACTATTTGACAGGTAAAAACAATATCATACCTCGCCTTCTAGATTGAATGTGCTCCAATTTTCAACATAAACATAGAAAAAAATGCACATTTATCTCTCTGCTACAATTCGTTGCTGAAAGGTCCTGCGAACTTCATTGGCCTAAAATCCACGTTTCACAACCGATTTCAAAAATTTCCTCTGTAGTTCAGAGAACATCAGAAACTTGAAGCTACATTTACATGTTTGCTTTGTTTTTTTCTATGTTGAAAATGCTTCAATGTTATTAGCGATTTATTTTGTGTTGATTACAGATGACCAACTTTTCACCATAATAATACATGGGAAGAACTTCAACACAACTTTAACACCAAAATACCGTACCGAGATCTCGAACGCACAGTACAATTTCTCCTACTCAGTTCCTATATCGAAGTATATGCCAGACGAATTCATCAATCTGATATTCAAGTGAGTACCTATGCTTAAATTTTTTATTTCGCTCTCATAGATGATACAATTTTACCAAAAATAAAATATCCTAGAAATGAATGAACTGAAAAACTCGGAAATTCAATGAAACAGTTTTCGGTAAAACCTAATTAAGTACAGGGTCTTCACGTATATTTTGAACCCCCACTAAACTTTATTATGTATTGTTAATTTTTTTTTCTTTAAGGAACGTTCTTTTATATTTTTTCCTGTATATTTCATTTATGCCAACAGAAAAACAGTTGAACAACTCGAAAAATACTCATGAGCAACATTTATAATTTTTTCAATAGGACACTCTGTATATCACTGCATTTTTAGATTATCCCTGGAGAGCTGATTTCATCGATCTATCACAGTTGGGGGTCTAGCTGAAATGATTACAGAGATGCAGGGTGTGAAAAATTGAGATTTTTTCAACTTTAGAATTTTTTGTGTCGAAACTATTCATTATTGGCCAAAATTGTTTTTAAGTCCCTATCTTGACTTTCGATCCACTATCTACTGACATTTAATTGAAACAATGACGGTCATCAGAATTTTAGATTTTTCACCACCCTGAATTCGTATTAAAGTACTCGTCAGGAGCTTCAAAATGATGTGTCACATGACTCCCCTTTCCTTTAATTCTTTTTTTCTCAGATGACGCCCAGTCGCCATCTTGAAAATTTCATCTGTCAATTTTACACCAAAATATAGTGTTCATGCATCAATTTCATTATTCCAAGTTTCACTTTTTTCAGTTGACCCTTTCAAAAAATAAACGGGGGGGGGGCATGGAAGGAAACCACTGTATGTGAATGTATGAACACTTGAAATGGGTCATAATCATTATGAGAAACCATTGTTAACAAACTTGACAGAAAGATGAATCTTGACAGAAATACAAAAAAATTCTAGGGTTAGGATAACTTTCTTTGGATCAGAGGTCTCTGCCTTGCTGAGAGCGATTTTTGCATATTTTTCCCAATGAACAGACAATATTACACCTCACCTACTAGGTTTTGAACAGTCCATTCCAAAATTAGATTATTTTTCAAATGGAGACAACAATATTATACTCGGGAAAAATGTTAGATTTCAATTAAAGGTGTTTTGTCTCCCTCTGCTACACGTCGGGAAACAACACAACCTCGAGCTAAAGTCTACTAATTTTTCTTTTATATAATGAATAACTATGTCATGTAGCGAAATTCATGTGACCCCGACATCTTTCTTAAAGCAAAACTCAACGTTGAAGTGAAATTTCGAAATGAATTTATCCTCAATAGTTTTTCCCACATGATACCAATTGTGTGAAAGACACTGTAAAATGTGTCATGAAGGTTCACGAAAATACGTTCTTCCAGGTCATCTCAATCGCACATAAAAGAGATTGAACACTGCTACAACGATTACAAGCAGCACGAATGCCCGTTCGTGAGTTCGTCGGCCTACTTCGACGACAAAATGAAAATCAGGCACAAGGTCAACGAGAACAGCCCCAGTCAGCTGATCGGCTTCCAGAGCGTCGTCTTTGAGGTGGACATGATTGACTTCCAGTCCAAGGTGATGACGTACAGGGCTTCCCTGAGGCAAAATCAGGTATTAATCGATGATCAATTGAAACGAAGCTTTATTGTTCGAGAATCGTTTATCCTAGGGTCACTGGATGGTAATTGAAATGACAATTGTAAGTGTTTTTGAATGTTTATAGATTTATTGAGTTACACATTGTGACAACAGCATCGTACTTGTTCCGCGCTGTTTCATTCAAAATTGTTTGAATATGCCAATAAACTTTATGAACGTCAAAATCGAAATATAATTTCATTAACTATTGAGAAAGTAGCAGAAATGAAAATGTCCTGCTGTGTAATGAATTGCGGGAATTCTGAAGGGAGTGGCGATTTCATTTCTTTAATTTTCCAAAGCAAATATCAGCCATTCCCTTATGGAATGAATGTATGGAACGGCCTGGATAGAAAATTAATTTGAGGACAAGCAAAATTCGTGAGGTAAGTACATAACATTGAAATTCATTTTTTATGACAGCAGATTGGAATGAAACTATATTGAAAACAGGAAGGAAGGATTGAGAAGAGGAATTGATTGCAAAACTACATAATGAAATTGAAATTTTGAAAACGAAACTGAGGAAATCGAATAAACTGCAACGTGATAATATATCATTGAATGGCGTTTTCAATACTGATTACATTCAAAATTTATCAGTGAAAAGTGAATGCATCAAAAGGTGGAAAATCAAAACAATATTTATGTTTTAAACTTCATCACTTCGGTGCAGTTTTACATACAATAAGGAACTAACTATAAAAATATCCAAATATATGAGTGTTTTGTCATATTAAAATGTTGTTACATGAATTCCTTTCACTTTTATAATTATTGTTCTGCGTAAAGTGAATCGCTATATAAATTGAAGTGGGTGTTTATACCATATTTCTATTATCCATCTACGACAATGATTGGTTTGACTGAAAATCTAACCTCTAAAATCGTATCTGACAATCAGGCACTACTAGGGGAATTGAAAAGACAAAGAGCAGAATATATGTTTTATTCTTTTATTCACTCAAACCACTGTAATATAGGAAATAGAAAAAGACAGAATTTCAGCTGTGTCCGAACTCTTATGTATCTAATACCATCCAGTGACTCAAGTTTATCCTATTCACAATGCGTAGAAGTAACAAGTGGCAGTGGCCAGTGGCGGCTGGTGCATAAGTGCTGCAGAGCAGTGGCGGCTCATTAGTGAAGGCAACTGAAGCTGAACCTCCTCAAGAATTTCCATACATCAGATAGTTCGATATACTTGTATGAAATATAACACCAAAATAGCATAGGGGAGTCGTTAATCTATGGAAATAGTTGAGTTACGTTCGTTTTATCGGTTATATTTCCTGACATCATGTAGGGCTTGAGAATTTGGCAACAATGCTCTTTTACTTGAAAGTATTCAGAATAGAATACAAATTTGCGACTTGGCAACATCCAACGGAAAGCAGCCTCTGACCAATGAAATTAACCAGAATTGCGTTTCACCAGGGAGCACGTGTGACTAAGATGTTTATAAGTTATGGTGTTTGCACAGATGCGCTTTTGTTTTGTCCAAACTTGACGGCAATAAACAGTTGACAATCGCAATATAAGGTTCTTGTTACATCTTATTCTAATGGATGTCGCTGTAAGAATTTTCATCAAAGTGGAAATGGAAACTCAATTATCTCTCAGAATTTTATTAAACACTATCAAAAATGAACCTACTTACACCATTTCTGTTTTTTTTTTTGTCGTGAGTATTAACTGATTGTTGTTATTTGGTCCAGGGGGCATCAAAATTATGGTAAAAATATGACGATATCAGCACCTCTTACGGATTTTCTACAAACAAAACCCTTATAAGTGTCGTCAGATTATTTGGCAAAAGTTCACACTTCCCATTCACTCATTCAGCTTCCTCTGTTGAGAAGAGCAAGAGCCGCCACTGCTGCAGAGCTCAAAAAAATAGACTGCATATAATTCTTCAAAACGTAATTCTTCAGAATCGTATTGTATCAGAATATATTCGATCGAAATGGTATTTCAACGGAACCGTTATTTAACGGAGCAGTAATTCTTCGGAACCTAAAACATCATAAGATATTCTATCATGTTGTGAAATGAAGGAATGTATTTTATAAAAACGACATCATACTGTACTTCTGTAGTGGACGATGATACGAATGTAGAACAAACTAAAATATCAAAACAGAAGATATAACATTCGAAATCATGAACACAACTTCTGAAGTTGATAATAGTTGATTGTATTTAGTGGTTATTTAGTAATTCACGTAAGTCGAATGGAAGATGAAAGGACTTGAAGTTCTTTCTCGGAGACGGTGTTATTGGCTTCTTTTTCAGAACTAGCACAACAAAAGCAATCAACAGTGTATATGTATCTATATCCGAAAAAAAAGTACTTCCCGTGGGAAAAAAGTAATTTATGAAAACTGATATTTTATGAACTGTCAATAGAGATGAAATGTCAAACTTTTTCCCGTCACAGAGAAATACGTATTTTTTTTCAAAAATTGCACAGCGCACTAAACGATTTACCACGAGCCGCCACTGTTTATTACAATTTTATTTATCACTGCAATTGCGAAAAGACACAAAAATATTCTTTACTGTCCAAGATACAGTTCGATTATCTTCAATGGATTTCATATACGGGTGATTATTTTAGAATTGAAAGTTATTTTTTCTTTTTCAGAACACATGCAAATTATCTTCAACCAAATTAGGCATAGAATATGTCGAATACAATTTTCACTTTTATAGACACTGTGATGAGTAATGTATCAATTTAGAATTACTGAGCAATAAGAACAAAGGGTTTTATCAACATGACAAATGTTATTGTGTATATTTTGTTTTATAGTTTGACATTGAAAAGATACTCTTTCAAATATTATTTTTTGATTTTGTAAATGTTTATAAATATATAATATATTATATTTGCACATATTTATCATAGGTCCTTGGCACTTCTAGTTTATTCTAAGTTGTAGGTATACTAGATCAGAATTTTTTGGTATTCAAGTGATTTGACTCCAAAAAAATATATTCAGACGCTATTAATTTTTTCAACTCGTTCATGTTCTTGAGATAAGTACATTTATTGTATGTACAGAGTGAACAAATTTCAATGTCAGTAAAGGATAACTCGGTAACTATACAGGGTATGCCGCGACGAGCTTACACAATCTGTATACAGGGTGCCCGTTTTTCGAGCTTCACCATGGGAATATCAGTTATTATAAGAGATGCGAGGTCGGTTAAATGACGGCAAAGTTGCGCAGTTCCATGCTGAACATTCATCTGTCATTTTTTGGTTTTAAATTATTCGAAAAAAAAAAGAAAATTTGCAACATAGTTTTTGAGTAGATGAACGAAAATGTGAACGTTCCAGATCCAAATTCAAATGAACTGTCCAAATTCAGCTTGTTAAACAAAACTGTTGGCCCTTTTTCCAAAGCACTCTTCGCAAAAATGTTTTTCCCAATTTTGATTAACAGGAAAGATTCGATCATATCGTGTGATAGATCATTGTAATCAGAAAAAAAAAGACTTTTTAAAAATGTAAAAATCCAATATAGCGCCCATAAGAAAAAACAAAGTTGTGTGTTGTAACTTTGGCATTAAGAACGTCATGGAACATACAATGACAGATTCAGATACCTCGTAAAAAAGTGCCTTAGGAATGTCCCGGTCAGAAACGTCTAGGTCTTTTGGTTTCCGCTTGAAAAAAGAATAATTCAATAACTAAAAATGACATTAAATTTTCTTGCAGATAAATGTTCAGCATGAGAAAATGCGCAACTTTTCCCAAATTTAACTGACCTCGTATATTATAATAACTGAGATCCCCATGTTGGAGCTCGAAAAACGGAAATCCTGTATAAAGAATCAGTCGCAAAAAAATTATGAAAATGTGCATGCTTATATTTGGGATTATTCTCTCTTCGTTCGAAATATTTTGGACAATGCAGTGTTGCCTCTGTACTAGAAATTTGCAACAACTTCGATATTGTATATGGAATATCCTGTATTTCATTGCAATGTCAGTACATAATGAATCAAAAGTTAAGGTGGGGACATGTTAGCCATTATGAACAATAATGCATAGTTTTGACACAAAAAATCCTGGAGTTAATCATTTCCGCTAGGCCCCAAGTGTGATAAATTGATGGAATCAGGTTAATAGGGAGCACAGTTGTTACTACTTTCTAGTAGAAGCGGCAATATTGTATTGTCGAAAATAGTTCATACGAAGAGAGCGTAATCTCAAATGTAAGCATGCACATCTTCATAGTTTGTTTGTGACTGATTCCCGATATACAGATAGTGTAAGCTCGTCGCGACATATCCTGTATGATAGGAGAGACAAAAAATGGAGGTGGCATCCTTGTTCTCTTTTGGAGAGACAAATTCACTGGCGGAAACAAGAATTTGCCATCGTCTTTTGTTTTCATAACCTACACAAACATCGAAATTTGTCCACCCTGTACTGGGTGGCTGGCAATCGAGGCTCATCATTGGGATCTCATAAACCGTAAGATATACAGGGTTGGTTAAATTATGGACTGCTTACTCCTTTGAGTAGAGTGAAAATATGATCTGAAATATATCGTTGAAGGTTACTCAGAGTAGCCGTTCAAAGACTGTTATGTGAAAGTATGCAAGATAACAAATGTCAAGTGTTATAAAACTCACAGGTTTCAAGATTTCGTTTTATGAGGATAATTATATCATATCATGTTCCGATATTCACGAACAGTACTGCCCAGTCTGGCAAAGCTTTAGCGAGTCATTGCAAGGAACCCTGTTAGAGACTAAACGTTTACTGTTGGCCACTAGTGGAGAAGTGATGATGTAGTGCCAGTATTCATGAAATGTTAGGTTACGCGTTTGAATGCAACATGCATGCATACGACGTGGCGATGTGAAAATGTCTGACTCAAGGAACATCACTATGGCATCGTTCAGCCATGAAATGCGACATCACATAGAAAATAACTAACATTCCATATGCAAGTATACATTCTATATTACAAATATGTCACACTGTGACATCGATCACTTGTCCGTACATGTGATATTTGTGGGAGAGATAATAATAATAATTCAACTTTACGGAGAAAATCTTTTCCGGAAGTAAAAACAGATGATACAAAACTTATTATGACAATCACCCTTATTATCAGTAATCTTGAAGTAAGACATAACATAATGATAGGTCCTTGGGATTTTTTTATCCACCTTGCTTGAGATTGAGATATTTCTATCTCAGACGACAGAGGTGCCAGATGATACCTATACAGGGTGGCAATGAAATGAGTGCAAATATTCCAAACACACTGAGAAAGTTCGACGTGTACTATCGAATGGCACTAATAAAAAAAAATGTAGGGATCAAAATGAAATTTGAGACCCCTTTTTCCACCCAAAGTTCTACACTATAGCAAATCTGACGTCACCTCTGTTCAAATTTTCATGCGGTAATTGCCTGATCAACTGGCAATCATGGCTAATTGCCAGTTCAAACTGGCAGGGAGACTGTTTTTATTAAATAGATAGTACGTTTGCTGTCCAAGTCCAAAGTTATGGCTGATTGCCAGATCAAACTGGCAATTATAAAAAAAAAGTTTCATTTCCGTTCAGCGCTTTCGTAGAAACAGCCACTAATCTACAAGAGGATTATGATATGTTATTCCCACTTTTGATATCAAATATCCCACAGCTATGCTTCATTTCTTGATCACTGGAACTAGAGGTACCTATTTGAGCTTGGTGTTTCTGATTAATCAGAATCACTATCGGATAATATATGTCTTCTAAGATAATATGATCAATCACTCCATCCGTAATTTCAACGTGAGTTAAAAAGATGATAATAAGAATGATGAAAATAAAAACCAACAAAACAAATCATCGAAAATCGAAAGATCATAGGTTATGGTTTTGTTTGGCTGCCAGTTTACCAGTCCTGCTGAAATCGTTCCGAAATGAGATGAAAATTCAAAGCTACTGCTACTGTTTAGTGTTCCTAAATTGCTTACTGTGGCCAGTAATGGAACTTTGGACTTGGACAGCAAACGCACTATCTATTTAATAAAAACAGTATCCCTGCCAGTTTTGATACCACACTGAAGACTACGTTATCCATATGGATGTGGGGTCTATATAAAATCGACCAGATATTGATTCAAGACATAAATAAACATTGATGAACAAAACTTGACAACTGTCAGCGTACACCATTACTCTATGCAAATTCAGGGTAAGAAAGGCTCTTAGTAAGTTTCTGAACGACTGTGAATGCATACTCTGAACTGCTAGAGTGAGTTTATGAACGCTTTGGAGTAAGCAATCCTTACTCAGAGTAAGTTTATGAACGCAGATTTTTGGGAACATCCGAATATTTGCGATTTCATTTTTATTTATTTATAAATTTATTTAAATAGATGTAACAAAACAAATAACATATTCTTGTTGCTACTTTTTCTGTTCTACAAGATGTTGTTATCAGATTTTCAAACCGACGTTTCGTCTTTGAACTGCCATCGTCAACTTTGTTTTTTTAAATACGGCCCTGGATTTTCATGGATTTTGAGAGCTGTCAATCTGATAGAATCAACGGTTTATCGCACTTATGAAACAATAATATTAATGGCACTCTTCATAAGAACTCATGTTAGAGAGACATAGAATATATTTTTGATATGATTGAAAACGAACACTTTTTTCGATTAAGTGTGATACACCATTGAATTTAGGAGATTGAAATCTCTCAAAATCCATGAAACAATTCCAAGGCCGTATTTGATTAAACAAAGTTGATGATGGCAGCTCAAAGACGAAACGTCGGTATGAAAATCTGATAACACCATCTTGTAGAACAGGAGAAGTAACAATGAAAATGTGTAATTTTTTGTTACATCCATTCAAATAGAGTAATAAAAAATTGAAATGAAATCGCGAATATTCGTTTTTTTCCAAAAATCTTTGGAATTATTTGGGATTTTTAAATTTCAAATCGGCATTTCGTTATGCATAAAATTGTGCAACTTGGCCATAATTTAAACGACCCTGTATATCTTCTATCTGTATATCTGTGTATACAGGATGACAAGTTATGAATTACCAGCCGCTATAACTCTTATTCTTTGCAATAAAAATAAAATCAAAACATCCTCACAAAGGACATCCTTTCCTTCTCGAATCAATAGATATACAGGGTGGTCCGGTGTGTAATACAAAGGATTCAACATTAATAAAAAAAATCATATAAACATCATATACGTATTAATAATCAATACGGATAATCTCTATCTGTTTCCATAGCGAAACATGAAGCCGATTTTTGAAGACAAATGACTATCCATAAGGAAAAGTGAGATACGATCAGACACATACTGCTTTGATTGAAAGGCTAGTAAACGTCATTGTCCACCGAAACGCATGTCTTTGATGACTACGTATCATGCCACCAAATCCTTATGGATATTCATTTGTTTCATATTTTTGGCTTCATCCTCTGGCACCCGTTATGATCCGTATTGTTTATTAATACGTATATGATAAACATATACTCTCAAACGCGTCGTTTTCGAGATATAGGGTGTTGAAAATACGAGTCTGAATATTGTTTTTTTATGAAAAGTTTGAAACGGTTTGAGATAAATCAAGAAAATTGATCAGATACTAAACTGTTCACGCTCTTGTTTTAATCACTCTCAAATATTATTATTGAACTGAAACGATATTTCTGAACCGATTTAACTCGAGAACGACGGAACGCATCCAAAACCCACAAGTGAGCTTTTTCTCGCAGAGACCTATGTATTTTCAGATTTTGATATACAAATTGAGGATGAAATGCACATATAAAAATTGGCGTGATTTTTTTCTTCACCACCCCCAGAATCAGCCTCTAATTACTTTATACAATATATTTATGTCATCTCATAGAACGTAAAAAATTTTGTATCTGTGAGGAATTTTGTTGATTTATGTCAAACCATTTCGAACTTTTCATTAAAAAACAATTTTCATACTCGTACTTATTTCAACACTCTATATCTCGAAAATGGCGCGTTTAAAAGTATATGTTTTTATGAACTTTTATCATTTCAACGAGTTGAATTTTTTGTATTACAAACCGGACTACCCTGTATTTTCACTTTGTTAGTAGATTCCAGAAAAATTGATCAAACTGTCAGTTTTGAACGCCCATAATTTGAGAAGTACAGTAGATAAATGATTTGAATACCTAGGATATTTTAAAATAGCATTTTTGAAGGTTTCATCAATGATGGTGAGGAAATTTATAGGGCGTTCCACAGA